TGGTAACTCCTTACTCAGTGCTGATTTTGTCCTGTACATGCGTAGGTAGTGTTTTCTGACAAAAAAAAAATGTCATCCGACTTTATTTTAAAAGTCAAATGTGTCACTCATCAAGAATCTTTACCATTGAAAATGTCAAAAAAAAGTTTTTACAGCAGCATACTGTAAATCACTTCATCTGACACCTACTCCGACGCGGTGGATTCAGGCATTAACAATTACAATATAGAAATAATCGATCTTGTCGCTGATTGTCTTGTTTGCTTGATTAGGTCATAGACAGCCATCAGTATTCATTTCCAGTCTTATTCATAACCCTCCAAAAACTCCTCACAATAACTTGAAGCATATATGTCCCTCATACTGTATCTCTCTCCTGAACTTTAAAGGAAATGGAGAAATCGGAGGCCAACAACTTCTTGGTTTTGTTCCGAGACGCTGGCTGCCAGTTCCGCTCACTCTACACTTACTGCCCAGAGACGGAGGAGATCAACAAGCTGACAGGCATCGGCCCGAAGAGCATCACGCGCAAGATGATCGACGGCCTTTACAAGTACAACTCGGACAAAAAGCAGTTCAGTCAGATACCAGCCAAGACCATGTCGGCCAGCGTGGACGCCGTGACGATCCACAGCCATCTCTGGCAAACCAAGAAGCCAGCTACCCCGAAAAAAGTAGTGCCTGCCCAGTCCTAATAGAACTTGACACCTCAAAAGGAACAAATCCATTTCAGTTTGCACTTCACTGTACATATCCATAAAGATTCAAGCACCTGCAATGCTAGTTAGATGAATGCATATTTGTCTTTTTTTATGTTTGTTCGTTATTTTCTCTTATTGCATTTGTGTCCTTGTATCTCCTCCTTACTCTGGACTGGACATGATTGCACTCAAAGATTATGAACAATTGGAATGTATTCCACAGTCGAAGACTATTGTACATGCTCATTACGTTTTTAGAGATTGTCATGTTTGAGTCCTTTTACCGAGGCATGTGTGAGTGTTTTTTCTTCATTATGTGCCAAACTGCAAAATAAGAGACCGTATGAATGCTAGGACATTTCATTAGGTACCCTAAAGCACTGAATGTTTTGAATTCAAGTACAGATTACTTGTTTTTTCATGATCCTGTTGATGTGTGGCCTTGTGCGCGTTTTGTTTCAGCGTGTGAGTGCAATGAGGTGATTGTAAGACTGTGTGTATATAGAGAGGTGGTTTTTGTATCTGGAAGAACACTTTTTTTCTTCGTCTGTTGGTAAAGCAGTTTGTATATTATGGTATGTAAAACTACAAAGGGCCAAAAAGTGATTACATACAGCTAGTGTTAGCCGCACATTACACGTGTGTTCAACTCTACAAAGTAAAGCGGTTTCAGCTTCTTCTTCTTTTTTTTTTTTTTTACAATCCGTTTTGAGAGAAAGTGATTTTAAAGAATGCCTGATGTTACCCTAGATCACTGGTTCTCAACCTGTGGGTCGAGAAACCTGCAGACAATTGGAGCTTGGATGTATTATGTTTGGGGGGAAAAAATGTTTTCTTACATACAAATGTGCTGTCATGTGTATAATTGTTGTGTCAAATTTCATCTTCAAGTAGTTGCAACCTCAAGATGTATTTCAGTATTTTGCATAGAATTGGAGGAGAGTGTAAATGTAAATAATCTCTTCAGGGTCAAAGCGGACTCTGGCTTGTTTACACTGCAAGGCAATGCTTCAACCAAAAAAAGGTTGAGAACCAGTGTTGTCGATGATTTGAGCTGCTTGTTAATGAAATGAAACAGCTCACTACTTTGATTTCATTTTCAAATGCCTCCTGCTGCTGTATTATGTAGGATATTTGCAGTAAACTACACATGCGAAACAAACACTCAACTACTAGTTTCAGAAACAGATTCTTGTTTGTGTTTTACTCCCTCTCTGATGGATAAAAGCGTCTGCTAAATGATCTGTAGAACATGACAGATTTCACCTCAGAAGGATTCCTCTCCATATCAATATCCACATTTAAAATGAAGCTGTTACATTAAGTACTTTTTTTGCCAGAAAGTATTAAATTAATCTCTCTCACAATGGGATTAATCCTCTTCACAAAGTCAAATCAAGCAACCACTAAACTCTTCATATAGTTCATATATATTTACATAGACAAAGATAGGAATACTGTTCTAATAAAAGTATGCTTCTGTGGGAGTGCTGGTTTGGCTCAGGTGGTAGAGTTAGGTGCATCATGTACCGAGGCTACAGTCCTCGTCACACTGGTTTTAGACTATCCTGCGGTCTTCATGAAATTTTGGTGCATGTCATCCCCACTCTCTTTCCCCACATTTCCTGTCTCTATAGCTGTCCTATCAAATAACGACAAACAGCCCCAAAACACTTTGAAAGAAATCCTACATGATGAATAGAAAGGCAGTCATACTTCAGTGTGAATGTTGCCTGATAAATACATTTAGCCCACTGTTAGAATGGCTGAATCCTTTTCTACACATCAGTTGATCTACTGTTCTAACATGACATAAACATGCCTTGACCAAAAAATAACAAAAGTAAGCATTAGCAGCAGACCGTATATGTCTGTTGTCTATAAGATGCAACTTGTCCTGAAAAGGGGCAGATATTATTGTTAGGTTTCATTTTGTCTAGTCTTAAGAAAATGAATTTGACAAAATAATGCAAAGCAGAATAGGGCGGATCCTTGTTGCTCCATACGGGTAGAGACTCACCATAAAGTGTAATGAGTGTAAGTATCATGTTCAATTTGCCATTGAGTGTCACGTCCACACTATCTGCAGGTACAATTTCCAATAATAATAAAAAAGAAACTGAATTGGTGCTCTGTTTCATCGATTAAGGAGTGGGGGTGGTGTGAGCCTGTTTAGAAGTATTTCTCTTTGGCGTTTGGGATGGATTTACCACGGAAAATCCTTCCATCTGTCTTTGGCTGCCACAGGCCAAGGTTAACAACTATTGAGAGTGTAATAATATTGTACAGTGTGTTCATGTAGGCTCATTTTTGTCCACTATGATGACTTTTATTTTGTTTGTGAGATGCTGTGCTGTCATTCTAAATATTGCTGAACATGTCTTTTTTTTTTTTGTTTACTTTTTGCATTTAATAAAACAAAGCATGGCCTCAGCATTTATGTGGTTCTGATTCTTTAATACAATTTCTATTGTAATGGAGGATTAATGGACATTTTCTATTGATTAATTAAAAGAATATTAACTGCATGTTGGATATGGTGGGGTGACACATCATACACTATGCAACGCTTTTTTAATTATTTACGGTCTTTTTAGTACATCTTTCTTTTCATACAGAAGAAATGTTGGCGCATGCAAGCAAGGCTTAACAGAACAATACATGCATAAAATGCATTGAAAATATTTACTGTGAGCAAAGCATGGCACATTTTGTGAGAGTACTTCCAGGTAAATGTAAGGCTGAAAAGGAATCTATACCAGACGTCACAAATTTTCATGTATGCTATTTACTCACCATAAAATCTGGTAAGACGAGAGACACGTTTAATACCTATTTTTTCATTTAAAATGTTGGCTGGGTCCTATATACCGATTTGAGTCTGGCTTTACTAATCTCCAACAACCCATGATGTCCAGCAGAGGAGGAAGGATTGCTGTTATCTACCAAAGAAGATTTTAAATGCACTCCTATTTCACAAAATAGTTTTAAATCATTTGAACATCTTGGTTTGATGGTTTGATGATTTTTAAGACCCAGTATTCATTTCTTACTTTTAGAATTGATTTTAGGATTTTACTGATCACTTCAAAAGCATGCATGGATCTGGCTCCTCGCTACATCACATAATTGTTGACTCCCTACTTGTCAGCCCAAAGCCTCAAAGTCAAGACTTTAATCTAAAGGAGATCGAGCTTTGCTGTCAGGGCCTGTGGCGATCTGCCAATGGAGACTTTTAATTATCTTGTTTACTTCTTTCTTTTACTCTTTAAGATTATGTTGATTATTTTTGTTGTTGTTGTTGAATTAATAATTTGATTACCTTAATTATTAGTAGTACTGGCAGATTTCCATCAATAGGCTATTCCCTCAGTAGCCCTTTTTTTTCTCCAATTTTATTTCATTCAAAGAAACAATAAAGTTAAGAAAAACAAACAAACATAAAATCTCAAATTTTGAATGAAAAGGAGAAGAAAGAAGATTAATCTTATAATATCTGCCCCTCTTTCACAAAACATTAATAAAAAAAAAACAGAACACTTAATTCAAAAACAATTAAAATGAAATTAAATTGGCTGCAGGCAAACACAGCAACTGGCAGCCCCATTGTAAGGCCTCCTTACCAATTCCATATGCACCGTACAAAGTATATCACAATACATTTTTGTTACAGCATCTCGAAACAAAACAGTATCTCACTGACATATTTCCATATTTATTCAACAAACTGGCTCTAATTTTTCTTTTAAATATCATGTTTGATTTTGATTCTTAAGTTTTTCTGTTGAGATTGTTCCATAAACCGATTCCTTTCACAGTAAAACAACATTCCCTCAATTTGGTTCTGAATCTCGGTTTATTAAAGATCTCTGTTCCTTTTAAGTTACAACGGCTTTCACTTTTTTCAAATCTGTTTTGGATGTAGCTTTTAGGCTTTAGGCCTATTCTTTTGTGACTGAATTACAGACAAGTTTAGCAAAGTGTATTAAGAAGCCTGTTCATTTCATTGCAAATGAATTAGAGTGTAGCCTCTGTCTCTATGTCTTCCTGTAGCGTATGTTAATGTGAATAATAATAAGGAAAAAAAACACTTTCTCTCTTGTGGTTATGACCCTCAATTATCTGGGTGAAACACTTCTGTAAAGCTTTAAATGGGTCATAAGCGAAAGGTGCTTTTGGAAACTGTGCTCAGGTGCCCACAGTGATACATTTTCATGGGGGGGGGGGGGGGGGGCAGAATTCCTTGTGACGCTCCTGGGTGTGACCACACGGCGTCATCGCTCCGGTTGATTGGTGGTTTGCGGCTGCATCGGTCCGCATGGCAACCGCGAGCTGTGTACCTACAAGGGGGCAAGAGAAACCTTTTTTTTTTTTAGAGACGCTACCTGGGACTTTAGACGTTCACGCACCCTTTTATTGTTCTCAGCTGCGTTGACACTTTGACATTTGGAGCCTGCAGACGGATTGGAGCGGCTTTTAATGCGGCGCGTCGTTGGCGCAGACTGACAGGTGAGGAGTTGGCAAGATTGCACGGTTGCGTGTTTAGCTTGTAAACACCGGCGTGGTGTTATTGCGCTGGGAATATAACATATTGTATGGGTAAGCTTCTGTACTTCTCTCTGTCTGCCACTCGGGGTTGTGTAAGTGTGCGCGCTTTGAAATGTCTCGCGTAAACAAGGTGAGCCCTTCGCGCAGATAAAGTGCTGAGGTTGACAGGTTTGGGCCGCAGACCTGCTGCTGTCACATCCAGAACCAGAGCCGGACGGATGGTTTGGGAGCAGGGCGGTGTCACCGGCTGCTCTGGCTCAGGGGAATCACTGCTCTCTCTGCCTCTTGCTACACTTGCGACCCATAATAAACAGGCAGTGTGGATCATGCAAAATTGAAGACCCCCCCAGTATGTCTTGTTATGAAAGGCGCTGTGATGCTGCTGTAGTTAACTGTTTACAGCCCGAGCCATGGCATAACTGTAGCCTGCCATAACATTTTAAACTAAAGTTAAAAATGTTATCACGCCACATGAATCTTATTGTGTTTTATTTTCTTTAATCTTTTCCTTCCCCGCCTTTTTAAATATAGACTACTAGAGACTCTACTCCATGTACTATGACCTAAAAACGTAAACTGTTTAACTTTCTGATATAGGCTACTTAACAGAAATACTTCAACTCTGACATGCAAAACGAGTTAAACATTTTAACAATCCCCCCCCATGAAATCTTTGAAGCCCCCCAGGTTGGAAACCAATGCTGTTAGATATAGGTGAGTATATTTGGTCAGAGCAGTAAACTATGTGGAACTTTGGTGTGCGCAGAGAGGACTTATCTTTAATGTGTACAAATTGAGATCAATCTGATAGATAGGATTTCAACCGGCTTAATGCCTTTCCTCTAATGCCAATTACGTGAACTAGTCTCCTTGACAGGATGTGACTTTTAATTGTGTGGAATGCAGACAAGTATTAAGATCTAGCAGGACACAAATAAAGAGACATCCTTTGTCTAATACCAGTAGGAAATCATGTGTCACTTTCCCCGATGCTTTTGAGAGAGACACTCCATGCTGACACCTTCTTTTCTTCTTCAACACATCAATTTTAAAAAATGTGCTTTCGTGTGCAACCTCAATTGTGTTCATGAGGCAGGGTATACTTCCCTCTAAATTGTGGATATGCCATGTGCACATGTGACTCTTTTCAGGTGCTGTATCGTCAACAACATCGTCTGTCTCCTCTTCTCTCCATCTGTGTTTCAGCCAGAGCTGAAAGCTGCCACCACACATCTGTAACCATGACTGCAGAGGAGATGATCAACATCAAGGAGGCAGAGGTGATCAAGCTGATGCTGGACTTTCTAAACTCCAGGAAGCTGCACATCAGCATGCTGGCTTTAGAGAAGGAGAGCGGTGTCATCAACGGCCTCTACTCCGATGACATGCTCTTCCTCAGGTATGACTGCGCAGCACGAGAGAGTATCACAAACTGTAGGATGAAACTTTCACATGTACAGAGAGCTGTAGCACTTCCTGCTGTTGTTTTATAAGGATATGGGATTGTTTTGTAAGTCCCAAACAGGTGTATGTTTACAATATTTAGTTTTCACATCACATATTTAGTTAGGATTTGATATCAGTAGGCGCTATCATGAGTCTCTAAATGTGTTAATTTGCTGCTTTGAACAGGCAACTTGTTCTTGACGGCCAGTGGGAGGAGGTGATGCAGTTTATTCAACCTCTGGAAGGAATGGAGAAGTTTGACAAGAAAAGGTGAGAGAGACACGGCGCGGGATAATGTAACCTGATAAAATCTGAATCATTTAGAAGTCCCACCTGTTCACCTGAAGTCTGTACTGGCCAAAGCTTTTATCTCAAGGACGGGTTGAAGGACTGGCTTTTTTTAACAGATTCGTCTTTGAGCCATTATGTTCTCCACACAATGCCTCAAGAACGAGGCCTCACTGAAATCAGCTTTTTCAGTAAGAGTTGCCAGACGCCTGCAGCTGGAAATGTTCAATATATGAAGTATAAGATTTAGATAATAAAGAATGATATTTCCCTCCCTGTATTTGAGGTTGAGCTGGATATCCCAGTAAAGCAGGAGACTGGTGGCCTTAGGCACTAAATTAGGTCAAGTCCCAGTTCTCCAGTGGCATGATCATGTCATATAACTGACATCCTCTCTTTCTTAACAGCCACCAAACACACATCATAACTCAGGGGAAACATCATATAAGAGCTGGACAATTCATGTTCTATAAAGCTTATTTCATGATATTGAAATTTGTGTTTTTCAGGTTCCGCTACATCATTCTGAAACAGAAGTTTCTGGAAGCTCTGTGTGTAAATAATGCCATGTCTGCTGCTGAAGACCCTAAGAATGTAAGTAGAGATATGGAAATCAGCATGAGTCTCTGTAAATGAAAATATTTTTACTTGATCAGATGACAACAAGGGAGCACTAGCTGGGAAAGAAAACACGCTTCAACTGATGCTGGGGTTCTAGGTTAAATAAAACCTCCCTTGCATTTCAACAGCGAAACACTCTCTTCATGCTCACTTTATTTTCAGCTGGAGCTCAGCATGCAGGAGGCGGTGAAGTGCCTCAACAGTCTGGAGGAGTTCTGCCCGACCAAAGACGACTACAGCAAGCTGTGCCTCCTCCTCACCCTGCCGCGCCTCACCCACCACGCAGAGTTCAAAGACTGGAACCCGAGCACGGCACGTGTCCATTGCTTTGAGGAAGCCTGCACCATGGTGGCCGAGTTCATCCCTGCGGACAGGAAGCTGAGTGAGGCCGGCTTCAGGGCGAGTGGGAACCGCCTGTTACAGCTGCTCATCAAGGGGATCCTTTACGAGTGCTGTGTCGAGTTCTGTCAGGTACACTAAGGATTGAAAAGGTTACAAGGACATTTTAGGACACTTTTAACTTCGAGTGCCCTTTTTTGTGCATGTAGGAAACCCTGTCTGATATTAGGTAATTGTTCCATCGCATATAATCTCGAGTGTGTATTAGATCAAAATTGAATCCAAGAGAGTTGAAAGGTGTTTTGTAATTAGAAAACTCTAAAAAATAATTTAAAGAACTTGACACTTTCAGTAATAGTTGATGATCCAAACCCTTTTCTTTGTGTTTCCTAGAGTAAAGCAACAGGTGAGGAGATCACAGAGGGCGAGGTCTTGCTCGGTGTGGATTTGCTCTGTGGAAACGGCTGTGATGAACTGGACTTGTCGCTGCTGTCCTGGCTGCAGAACCTCTCTCCAGGTGCCTTCTCCTGCGCCTTCGAGCAGCAGACTCTCAATATCCACGTCGACCGCCTGGTGAAGCCCAGCAAGGCCGGCCACGCCGACCTCCTCACTCCTTTAATCAACCGCCTGTCACCCTGCACTACCTCACCTTTCCACCAGAGGCCCCATTCAGCAGACACCTACATGTCCAGATCCCTCAACCCAGCTTTGGACGGTCTGTCACATGGTCTTGCATCCCAGGAAAAGAGGGGCGTGGAGGCAAACGTTAAGTCTGCCCTCAGTCGGAGCCTTGTTGAGAATAATGTTCATCAGGAGGATGATTCACCTGAAAGGTAAGGGTCAGAGGTTAATAACAGCTGGATGCTAATGTTGTGAGTGCTTTCAGAGCCAGACAGGTGGAGTTCAACACTACAAATGTCTGCAACCGTGCAATGTCAAAGCATTTCACACCTTTGCTTCACAAAACTATGGCTTTGACTTTAAACATTTTGTTCTGTCTGCTAGATGAACTCTGACAAATATCTAACTCTGGTTAAAAACCCCAACTTCAATTGTATTATCAATGATATATTTACAGTTTAGCAGATGCTACTTCTAAATTAAGAACCTGAACCAAACCTCATCTTATGCAGTATTTCGTAAAGTGGACATATTATGAAAAATCCACTTTGACAGTGTTTTTGAACATATATTTGGGTAACCTGAGTGTCTACTGACCCACAAAATATGAAATAAATCCATTTAGTCCTTTGTTTGTAGTCTGCATAAGTCTTACAACAATGAGAAAAGAGCTCAGTTTCAAATTTTCTCAGTTTGTGATGTCACAAGCGGGATTCTGGTAAAAACAAATCCCCTCCCCTGATAACTCCACCCATGGACTCCATCCCCAAGCCTAGAACAAAACTTTTGCGCAGGTCTGCCATTTTTATTCTCGCTACAGAGGAGTGATGTCTACGGGGAAAACTCAGTGGGGCTCAATGCATTTAAAGAGACACACACACCAAAACGAAGCATTTTGAGAGAGCTGGTTTATTCAGGGTCACAAACCTCCTCTGGTGCTTGATTCATGTTATATTTTGACCAAAGCACAGCACAGATGTTTTATTTAGACCACAGAGGACTATTTGTGGAAAAGGGGGATAATATGTCCTCTTTAAATGTGTTTGTGTATAACCTATCAATGCATAAATGTATCATAAGTAGCATTCTCTAATCAAATCACATGAACAAATCTTGACAAATGAACTCTTAACACTTCAATAAAGAATATTGTAAATATTTTGAATTTCCCTCGGGATCAATAAAGTATCTATCTATCTATCTATCTATATAATATAAAAAATATGCATCTGATAAAGAATAATCACATTATGCCCACCCCCACATCCGTTATGTGTTTGAGTTTCAATCCATGTGAGATTTTTTCCATCAGCATGAAGTTGTGCAACCTGACGTATTAACCACAGCGGTAGATCTTGTTGTACACCACAATCTGTAGCTCCATTAATCCCATTAACACTGCTTTAACTGGCACATACTGCCTCATCTGTCATCTCCTACTGAGCTGCACAAAATAAACTGCAGCACAGTGTTGATTGATGCGTTATAATCTCAAGCCTTTAACTAATGACCCCTCATTGACAATCACAGTACTACGCTGATGTAAATGTTCCTAATGCTCTGATATTTAAAGCTGAAGTGGGCTAAAGACCACTTTTAAATTCCTAAATCATCTTTTATGACGGTCGTCATTGCATATTTGGTCATAACTGCAGCTTCTGGGGTTCATATCTGTCTTAATTCTCTGAGTTTCTAAGTTGTAATTACGACTTGAGTTGACACTTTCGACTGGGAACTAGGAATTTCTGACTTCCGAAATCAACTGGAACACAGCATAAACCAACATGAAGAAACCTTGAAGATACTTTTTTCAGTTTTTCTTTATCCACATGTGCTCCTTCTGCACAAACGTGGCGGCACCAGCTATGGTATAAAGCAAATACAGCACAGGTTCTTTGCAGTATATGTGATTAAAACACTTTAAAAGTAATACAATGCAAGATGTGTTTAAAGTGAAAGAATAATAACAGTCTCACCTCTGAGAAGTAGGTGGAAGCATCATATGACAACACTGCTGTTAACAGAGCGCTTGTTGATAGGTATGCTGGCTCCACCTGCTGGATGTAATTCATGCACACAACAGGTACCAAATGACACAGACAGCTGAGTGATTTTGTGTTTTTAAGTGTTTGATCTGCAACAAGAATGTGTCTGTCAATTTGCTTTTTAAGTTTTATTTTGTTACAGTGTAGCAAATATTCAACAGTTTAGGTTTTAAGCTGCTGAACTTCATACTTTATTTGCTTATAAGAAATAACCAAGTACTTCATCATTTTAACTTATTGCTACATAAAGTAATCCTCAAATTTTATACCGCTCCCTTTCATTTTTTGCCACTCTTCATCTCAAATCAATTTGAATACAAATATTTGTTTGCATATCATTTTCTGTCCTTAGGAAGCAACGGTCAGGGCTGGATGAACCCAACACCCCACGCGCGCCTCTGACTCCAGGAAAAGATGGTGGACCACCCGGTGGCACAGAAACAAATGAGGTAATATGAAGTATGAGAAGTGTGTTGTGTATGCATGTTATGGTAATTAAAGGATTGTTTCTAGATCACATATCAATGATAAGCACAACGCATGCCACACACAGAGTTGTTGTGAGTGTCTCAGTCAAGATTGTGAAAGGTTTAAAAAAAGAAAAAACAGCCGCAGTCGTCCGTCTGGTCACTTGAGTCAAAGTCAAAATAAGATTTTCAGTCCGTCTCCGCTTCACAGTCATTATATCAGATTTAAGAGATTTAGAACCGATTCCCCATGAACCCCTGAGCCAGATCATTTCCACACCTCACCTGCCTCATAAATCCTCCCCCAATCCTCCACCTCACCCGTCTGAGGGGCACCAGCACCCTCCTGCCCCCTGTCTCAGCGAGGAGGGCAGAGGTCAGGGACGCCGGCGGCAGATAATCTGGTTTGATGTGCGGTCACACCCAATATGGCCTGCTGCTTCCATCATCGCTCATATTTATGCATCCCAGGTCTCATCTGGGGGAGCAAAGTAGCTTGAGATTGGATTGAGTGTGTGTGTGTGTGTGTGTGTGTGTGTGCGTGTTAGTGTGTGTGTTATCTGTAGACCCGCTGGATAGGATGAGGTCCTTGAAAACTTTTTTATGGGACAGATGATGGAGGACGAGGCCTTGGGAGTTGAAGAGTTGTCAGTGGTGAATCCTGGGAGAGAGTTTGTCTATTATAATATGGTGTGTGTGTGTCCGTGTGGTGTGTGTGTGTGTGTGTTCGTGTGATGTGTGTGTTAATTGGCAATGAGCCAAGCGCCAAGCATTGAAGAATATCCTGAAAGGCAATAATACATTTCTGCCTGTTGAGGTTTAAACAATGCTGTCAGAACAAGAATCAAGAGCTAAACTTCTGCTAAAACATATATATAAATATTTTTTTGTATGTGTGTTTGTCCAGCGTCTTGACTCCACCGAGCATATCCAGGAGTACTACAGACAGCGTCTCCGCGTGCAGCAGCATCTGGAGCAGAAACAGCAGCAGCGACAGCTTTATCAGCAGATGCTGCTGGAGGGAGGCGTGAAGCCGCAGGATGGAACACAAAACAACCTCACAGAGACTTTTCTCAGCAGGTGAGGATCCAAGGTCATAATAGAAAAAAATATTACAATCAATGATTGTAATGAATGAAGGGCAACCTTACAAAATTATATTCGACAAAGAAGTAGGGAAAATTAGGCAGGACATTTTTTAATTGTTTTTATTAAAACTCACATCAAATTTAAAAAAAAAGTTAAAAACAGCAATGCTGGAGACGGGGGAAGACACATGGATCTCTGAGAGAGTGTCCGGGTTTGGAAACTGTGGTGATGTCAAGGTCCTGGACCCCAGAGGGTATTATTGAAAAAAAACCCTAAAGGGTTCGGGTTTACTACTACATACTACACATTTCTACTAAAAAAAGAAGAAAAGTGCTACCTCACTAAGACAAAAAGGTATTTGTTTTTGTCTAGGTCCATTCAGAAGTTAGAGGAGATGAATGTGGGCATCGACCACAGAGGAGACGATGTGATGTCACATCTGGGCCAGCAGAGGAATGGGCTCCCAGGGAACAGCAGCACCTCTAGCCCCAGATCCACCAACACCCGACACACCCCAGATACTGAGCCACTAAGGGATAAGCCAGGTGGGTGGGCCAGCAGCACCCCATCAAGGACTGGGAGTCATGGTTTGCCCTCTCTCAGTGAGTCACCAGTCCCTGCAAGTAAGAGGTAAGAGTCAAGTGTTTGGTCGTTTCAAGCAAAAACATCAGCTTTATGTATGGCTTTAATTGCCATACTATGTTAACTTTTGGTTGATGTGATGTATTCTTTCATCCTCCTTAAAATCGAACTTGATTATTTTTTTTGTATCTTTAGCAGCTATCACGTTCTCTCTGTCTCCACCTGCTGGATAAAAGGAACATAAACGTGAGCTGTGTGTGTGTGTGTGCGTGTGTGTGTTTATATTTGCAGTGCTGAGAGGATCAGTGGGTCCTGCGCGACACTCCAAGGTGACTCTGGCAGCTCTGGGACACGTAACTCAAAAGAGGTACAGCAAATAAATTGTTTTTTGGTTAAAAAGTCTTCACACAGAGATCATAGTTCAAAAGATTATCTTCTAATCTTCCACAGACAGCCAAGCCCAAAACACAGTTTGTTAAAGTGAGCCAGCTGGAGGACACACAGGCAGTGCGAGCCGTGGCTTTCCATCCTGCTGGAACGCTCTACGCTGTCGGCTCCAACTCCAAAACCCTGAGAGTCTGCTCCTACCCAGAGACACTGACCCCAAGGTGGAACGGGTGGCAACTATTCACGAGAACTCACAACTTGTAACAATGAGTAATTCTAAAATATCAAACATTGATGATGACTTTATAGAAAATACATTTTCATGTATATAGATTTTTGCTTTAAATTGCAACGGACTGAAAAGGTATTCGAGACCAAAAATTAGGCGTTTTTATTCACTAAAAAGTCTAGATGTTTAAATACGGGTTCGACATTGTCCACACAGTATAACTGGTATATTATTTGAGAGTTCATGTTTCCCCTCTCTCTTGCTCATGTTAGTTCGTCCAGTGCTTCTGGAGCTCTCAAGCAGCCAGTGGTGCGCTTCAGGAGGAACAAACACCACAAGGGTTCAATCTACTGTGTAGCCTGGAGCCACTGTGGACAACTGCTGGCTACTGGCTCCAATGATAAATATGTCAAAGTCCTGCCTTTCAATGCGGAGAGCTGCAATGCCACAGGTACGATTGATTTGCTTTAATGTTTTTATGAAAAGTATTTTCAGCAACTCCATGATTCCTCACTTACATACCTAGAAAAAGGTAAAGTCCCTGCTGTTTTGGCCAAAATGAATCTGTCCAACTTTTGGTTCTAAGAAGAATAAAGAGAGGAGGGAATACATCTTTCTCCTGATATTGAGGTAACTAAAGTATACTTCTGCTTCAGGTCCAGACCTGGAGTTCAGCATGCATGATGGTACCATCAGGGACCTGGCCTTCATGGAAGGCCCTGAGAGTGGAGGATCCATCTTGATCAGTGCTGGGGCCGGAGACTGTAACATCTACACAACCGACTGTCAGAGAGGACAGGGCCTCCACGCCCTTAGCGGACACACTGGTATGTTAGCAAAGGCATTTTTCCCTGCAGCTCTTACAGAAGGGTAACCAAATCAGTTTGCAGACATAGCAAAACATCTATTACCTGAAAACTATTTAATGTAAAACTCAAATGTAATCTGTTCCAGAAGTAAAACTTCCAAAAAGTCCCCTAAAGAGAGACCAATAAGCTCTAACTTATATTACGATGATATAGCCATACTTTCATAAACGGGGTTGGGAAACACAAAAACTTAGAACATCAAGGTAAAGATAAAGCATTTTATGACTTCACTCTTTTTTTTTTTTTTTTCAAAAGGTCATATTCTTACTCTTTACACCTGGGGAGGGTGGATGATCGCATCTGGCTCCCAGGACAAGACTGTGCGGTTTCTGGGACCTGCGGGTGCCCAGCTGTGTGCGGGTGGTGGGCACAACTCTGCACGGCTCAGGTGAGTCACGTCCCAACGCTCATTAGAGTGACTCTTAGTAAACTGTAATATCGCAGTTTTACATTATGCACTCCTGAATATTCAAAGAGAATGTCAGGAGGACTGTCCCTGAAATCCTTCAGATCTGGTTGTTCACACTTGCACCTCAAAGTGGGAGACTATCTCTGTCGGACGGAGCGCGGGGGGGGGGGGACATGTTGAGATTACACGCTTGGATGAAGCAACAGAGTCTGGGATACAACGCTACACTGAGAATATTTGCCTGAATAGCAATGCTATGTGTAGTTTGACAGAATCACAATATCAACAACAGAACAGAGAAAAAATAATGCAGCAGTTCAATTATGTGCATGCAGATGCTACACTTGCGTGCATACAGTCTGTGATTGTTCACCGATGGCAGAGTTGAGTTGAATTACTGTCCAGGGAAGACAAGCAGTTCTCAAGAAGTTGTATGCTGCAGCCATTTTCAGCAAACATTTCACTTGTCTGTCTTACACAGGAAGTGCAGTTGCTTCTGTGGCGGTGGATCCCAGCGGCCGCCTGCTGGCCACAGGTCAGGAGGACAGTACCTGCATGTTGTACGACATCAGAGGAGGCCGCATAGTGCAGACATACCGACCACACGGCAGCGACGTTCGCTCAGTGCGCTTCTCGCCTGGAGCCCATAATCTCCTCACTGGCTCCTATGACAACAAAATCATCATCAGTGACCTACAAGGTAACAACTAAACAAACAACATACAGAAATGTGCAGTATGTGTGATTTGTAGATGTACTCTGCACAAAGACGCTGCACATGAATCATTTGAATTACATTTTTTATCATTCAATATTCATTCATATTTCATTTGAAATGTTAAACTGACTTCATGACCGTCTTGATACATGTTTCAAATTACTAATAAAAATGCATTTTGCAATTTAGAAAGTCTCAAAAAGTTCAATGTATATACTAAAATGCTTGTTAATTTTGCAACCTTATTACTGTCAGTGTTTGATCCCACTGGGTGACATGTTTTTTTCTTTTCGGTAACCCCAGGTGACCTCACAAAGCCCCTCCCTCAGACGCTGGCAGGCGAGCATTGGGACAAGGTGATCCAGTGCAGATGGCACCCTCATGACCGGACCTTCCTCTCGTCGTCTGCAGACCGAACTGTGGTCCTCTGGACGCCCGGCCCCTGAGATATATATTCACTGGACAAACATGTTAGCTGCAGCAGCAGGAGGCTGGAAGAACACAGTGTGATGTAATCACATACTGCTGTGTGTGTGTGTGTGTGTGTGTTTGTGTGTGTATGTATGAGTGTTTTTTGTGTTAAAATTTGACTACATAGTTAGCTGTTAGCTGCTCACAGTTAACTGTGTGTGTAATGCACTTTTTTGAGGGGGAAATCACAGCCACTAAGTAGTTTTGTGTGTGTTTGTTGTTGTGTGTTTGTTTCCATTCTGTTGTGTATATCTTTGTACGTCCAAGCAAATGCAGCATTCTGAAAATATGTTTCTTTGCACACGCCATAACAATGAGGAAACATTGCGTGTTTAATATGAATCTTTTAATTCACGATTCATGTGATAGTCAGTACCCTTTTTAGGGTATGTGTTTGTGTGTGCATGTGTGTGTTTGTGTGTTTCACTTCAAACCTTTCTGCTCTGGCTTTGGTAAGCAGAGCACAGATAACACAGATGTAGTTAGAACATAGTGATGACTGATAATGCCTGTTTTGATAGGCATGAGCAAGTTCACAAAGCACATCTTCAAGTAAGTTCATTTACATTTTCTTCACAATTCAAGTAAATCTTTTTTAGAACTTCAAAACACACATGGATCACTACTGAAGTAACGATGGTGAAACAAAGCGAGCTGCTATTTCCATACGAGAAGTGAGCTGGACTCTTTAGCCACATTTTAGTTATGCATATCATAATGTGCCTTTTGTAACATTTGTAGATATTTTTGGACTTTTGCATTTACTGAGAGATGTATTGTTTTATTTTCAACTTTATTTTGATATGATCTCATGCATAGCCATTTAAACATTTTGTAACATCACTTATGAAGACAATGATTATTTGAGTGCACTCATATTAACTATGTATGTTGTTTTCCCTGTGTCTGTCACTTTTAAAACTCAAATGTTTAAAAAAAAAAAGGTTGCATCTCAACGGTTGGAATTCCAGTATTATTTTTATACATGACTCAAAACATATTTCCATGCTGTGTTCCAGACAAACTAAGTATATTAACTGTAAAACGAGAAACAGTGCTGGAGCTTACGTTTTAGAAACTGCTTTTTGTAGCTCCTTCATTAATAAGCACATCTGTTCTGTAAATTCAATGTGCTCATTTTGTGCAGTTGAAAAGTTGCATTGGGTGGCAAGAACTATAGCATTGATTGCAGTGCATAAAGTTGGAGCTGATAAGGAATTACATTTTTGCCCCCCCCGTTTTCAGAGTTTAGATGGTGAGTAGGGATGCGTGGTCTCAGGAACATTTTAGGATGTATAGAAAGCTTGGAAAAAGCAATGAAGCTTGGATTAATCAAAGAAATATCAGGAAAAAGTCCAGACAAGAAGAAGGCACTTTAGGATAAAGGCTGATTGGATTGCAATATGTAAAATGACACATCTTTGTCTTGAAGTGATTTTATTCCTCACTGTTACTGTGCACCTATGCAGAAACCTGATGGTTGTGAGAAGAAAAGGGGATCGGGAGAGACCCAATGTCATTGGTTGTTGTGTTAATCCTCAAATGTACATGATTTGCTGCTCACGATGCCATTGAAACTGTCATTAGAACGTGGTGTGGTTTTGAAATGTGCAGACAAATATGTAACAATGGACCTGGAAAGAGGTTAATGGGGTTCAAACTGTGAACAAAGTTATCGGCTTTTACCACGTATTGGTCTTGCTTTTGATTGAATGAAGAATTTTTTGAAGTTACAAGTTGGAACGTGTAATGAACTGACTGAATAAAGATACAAAGTGCCATCACACTGTTCTCTAATGTGTTGAGTCATTTTGTGTTGGACTGCAAAAAAAAAAGAAAGAAGAATTCGATTTTCCAGCATGTGTGTAAAAAAGAGTCATGAGACGCTCATGGTTAAAAAATAAAAATAGGGAAAAGTGCAACAGGTTGGTGAGACAGCGGGATAAAGGGATGGAGGTTACTGCAGAGAAGAGCAAGAGGGGATTTAACATCACTCACATGCTGCACTCGATCATTCCCTCTTTTGTGAGCAGGACAATACAAGCCAGGGGTACAGAGCTTAAAAAGGATAGACACACTGTTACAGCCAGCAACCCTGCAGAGACACCAGCCAACACAGAGGTATCAGAAAAAAAAACCTTATTTTACTTAACTTATTATACAGGACCTGTTATTACTGTACTTACCAGGAAGATGCTTTTCCCTCAACGGCTTCAAAGGCAAAACAAAAACTGAGAAGCTGCTGTTGGAGAACCACACAGAAAGAAGAGATGACGTTTGGGGACCTTTGTCAAAGGAAACTATCTTTACCGCTCACTATTTGGCATGAAGAATGTTGTGAGATGTTTTTCATGCAGATGTAGAGGTCGGAGTTGGATGTGATTTTGTAATTAGGTGGTTTTTTTGAAGGCTGATAAGTGAGTGCAGGTGTTGAAAGTAATGTATGATAGCATTGGTTTGCTGGCTGTGTGACAGAGAGAAACACTGCTGACAGTTCAGTTGCTCAGGACTGACAGATTTGTTTGTCATGCATGGAGAGGAATTAGTGGGGAACAATAACTAAACTGCTTGATAGGCAGGCTTATTGTCAAACAGCGGTTCTGTTCAAGTGCTTTGCTGGGCAATGACCAATTTTTGACCACATGGCTGTAGAATGAGTCCCTTTTGATGTATTTATGTGTGCTTATATGTTCATTTTAGGTCTCTCTTTCTCCTGATAATATCCCAGTATATGACAAATGCTCTTGCTATTGCTTTTAATCTGTTTAAAATTCGTTTAAAGACCTGATTCTTTTTGGGAGTTGAGTATTGTAGTTTTTAACTTGTGGTCATCTAGCAACTTAAGCTAGCTCAGATACTAAAAGGATGGCAGTAGTTGGCCAGCAGGTCATTGGAGCAATCATGGGCTACGGATGTTTTTTTCTTAAAATGAATTTAGTAACATTTCATTGGAAAAATTAAGTTTGTGATGCGGAGCTTCAATTACACTTGGCTATCTTCAGTGCACATGGAAAACGAAGCACTATGTCATGAGAGGGTGTGCTTTATTACTGAATAGAGGCATGACTGTCAATCAGTCAAAGAATGCCAAAGATAGTCACTGCTGTGCTGGATGTGGTGCTGTTATACTGAATGTCCGGTGTCAGATTAGTAGGTTTGCAAACAGTAGTAGTAGTAAATTGTAGATAGCGAAAACAGAAAATCATTTTTAATCAATAATTTTGCTCCACCAATTCAATTAGTTACGCAACTTTGGAACAGGACTATTGCCAAAAGCGCATAAAAAATGTGCACTTTGGCAGCTTTGTGTATGAAACAAACTTTGTGCTACATACATTCATCTGTATGTTTCCATTAATCATGCAACTAGTAGAATAAGATGTATAAATAATGTACCAGTTTTTATTATTCCAGACAAGATCGTTTGTTGTAAAGTTCATAAATGGTATTCAGAACACCTGAAGCAGAGTGACACACAGTTAACGGTCCCTGTGCTGTTGTACTCTGTATCTGCATTTATGGAATGTATCTTGAGCGATCAGATAGTTTATACAGGAGGCATTCTTGTATTATGGAGGATTCTGTCTAAAGCACCTGATGCAGAATGATCAAGTTTGTCCAAATTGTGATTTTATCTTTTTCCTTACAATGCTCTTTCTTTTCTTGACAGTTGCTGAATGTTTAGAAGAAAAGTTCTTTCCACGTCTTCTCCACGATGCTGTATACTCTGGCAGGAGGAGGCACACTGTGCGGTGTGGCAGCCCTAGTGCTTCTTATCGTCTCCACAGCGACAGACTTCTGGATGCAGTATCGATACTCTGGTAGCTCAGCCAATCAGGGGCTTTGGAGGTTCTGCATCAACCACAAATGCCACACCCACACCATAACCGTAGGTGAGTGCCTCAATGGTGGCATTTGGATAGGACAAAGGATCCCGACAAAAAAATTTTGAACTCATGATCAACTTAAATTTTGTGCTGATGTTTTCAACATTGAAAATAGTCAGCCTTTGAATTTTCTGAGGACATTTCTTAGAATATTTTTCAGCAAAGATGCAAATCTGCAAACCAGAAGCACAGCCGAAACTTTGCAAACCAAAGCACATAGATTGGTGATAGATACAATTAACCAGTGGCATCAACCTGGCTTTACTCAAGATATGGGATACATCAATTTCATTCACCATGATGGTTAGATCCCTACCGGAAATTCTCCCAGTAGTGTGTGGAAACAACAAAACAAAAAGGGTTAGTAACATACTGACATTTAATATAATGGCCAAAAGAAGATAAATATTTCTATATTATCAAATCCAGTCCTAATAATAAGTATCTGTTGATGCATTGGTTCACAACCTGGGGTTCGGGACCGCCTAGGGGGTTGCCAAAGATCCTTCTCTGAGGTTGTCAAAACAGCTTTTTTTCCCAGGTAGAAATAGAGGGGGCTCCAAGGGAAAAACGGTTGGGAACCACTGTGTTAATCTGTATGTGGTCCTGTTCTTTTTATGTCCAGCCTTCTGGGATGCCACTCGAGCCTTCATGTTGCTGGCTGTTCTGAGCTGCTTCGCCGGCGTGGTGCTCGGCCTGAGCGCCTTCACAAACGGCACCAAGAACAGGAGGGTCCGTACAGGTGGCATCGCACTCGTCCTGTCAGGTAAGATCACAGTGACAGTCCTGTACAAATGTCTGTCGGCTGGTTAGATTAAACCAGTTTATGTGATTATCATCCAAATGATACGTTTTGAGTCTAAAAATGTGTTGGCTGTTCCCAGGTCAGTTAGGAGTTAAGGTCAAACATGTGATTGAAAACAGGTCAAATGCTTTAATAGAGAACTTTTGTTTAGCACAATATCATTAATTTTAAATTATATTTGACAAATTAAATAACTTATATTTCTGTTAAAATGTGGTTTAGTTTGGAAACACAGAAGAAATGCAGAAACAGTTTGTGTTTATTTCTGTCAGGCATGTAGTCTGCATATTTTTAAGGTTTTACATATTTTAACATTTCTATATCCCTTTGATTCTCAGGTTTTCTGGCTCTGCTGGCTTTGGCCATTTACACCGGAGTGACTGTCACTTTCTTTGGCAAACGCTTTTTGGACTGGCGCTTCTCCTGGTCTTACATCATCGGCTGGGTTGCAATCATTTTGGCGTTTGCAGCAGGTATTTATAAAGCATTTCATTACTCGTATAAGAACTGTTTATTTGCAGATTAACTGCAGGAGCCTAGTTTGAGAAGTTTTAAACTATTGAACTATTCAACGTTTTTAATTTTTTAGGTAATTCTTACCTTGTTTTCTAGCAATTAAAGAAGCTACTATGTTACAGATCAACGATTCTCAGCTTTCATTTTTTATAGAAGTGTCTTTTGGCTTCTTTGAACTAAAGGACATTTTTATGTTTGATATGGATGGATATGACATTCAAGAAAACAAACATCAATATTTTTTTAGTTAGAGATCAATGTGATCAGTGACGGTCTGTTTTTTTTATTTTTTATTTCAGGTGTGTTCCAGCTCTGTGCCTACCAGAGGACCACAGCAGAACCTGCTCCTTCCAACAACCCAGACAGTTAAACAAGAAGATCGCACCGATTCGCTCAAACACAGCTTCAAAATGTCACTGCTGCATTTAAGTCCTTAGACTGGAATAAATAGAAATCACTGGCTTCTGTGTGTAGTTACTGACATGTTTTTCTTTCTTCAGACAAGTTAGAAATAATGGAATCTTTCAATTCAAGTCAAATAATCTGACATCATAGATGATCTAATATTCACATATTCTCTGATGGACCCAAGAACTCTAGATCATGTAACTCACAGATCTCTTTATGGTTTATTTAATGTTTGATTCAAGGTTTATCACAAAACTTGCTTTAATTTTACGACACAAAAAACAAACATTTAAATGTTAATTGATATTTCTGAAACATCCCATGTGTCTTCTTGTAGAAAGTCTTGGGTGATGTGTGCCTGTGGTTAGAAGTCATTGGACAGAATTCAAATCTTCTATTGCAAAGTTTGTGTATAGGATTCTCCACTAGATGGCGGTCTCACACCAAATACAGGAGGAACAAACCCGGAGGCACTGCAGGAGAATGAAGCCTGCGTCAAAAGAGTGCTGAAAATATGATTATATGATATCAGTAGGTGCTTAGTCAAAGACACCTGGAGTTACTACAGATTATTTTACCCACCAATAAGAAACACCATAAAAAAGGGTTTAAATTATTATAAAAGTATCCCCTGGACAGTGCTGAAGATTCAGGTAAAGATAAATAGAGGATAGTGGGGAGTCTTAAATTCCAGATTAAGATGATTAAACCTGAATTGCAGTATTTGCTACTGAAGACCATGTATGAAGACATAAAAAACACTAAATAATCAGAAAAAGAGAGACAACAGGAGTGCTTCTGGTATACCTCTGACCACTGGTGCTCATGAAAGGCTGTGGCTCAGTTGGTAGAGTCTGTCGTCTCTCAACCAGGTCAGGGGTTCGATCCCCTTGGCGAGACACTTAACTCCAAATTGCCCCCAATGCTTCGTTAGCGGCGTCTGAATGTGTATGGATGGGATTAATTACTCCTGATGGTTCCTTTACATTGCAGCCTCTGCCATCAGTGTGTGAATGGGTAGGTGTGACCTGCAGTGTAAAATTAGTAAGAAAACTAGAAAAGTGCAATACAAGCTCTAGACTGTTTACCATTTTAAAAAAGTAGAGGAAAATTTAAGAGACCAAAAACCTTGGTACAAATAATGCAGGTCCAGGAAATACATCACTAAATAATAATCTGTACGGGCAGTTTTACTTTTTCTAATTTAAATGCATTACAGTCAGTGAGCAGATGGATTTGTTTTGTATATTTTCACCTTTGCTGCTCTTTAAAAGCTACTTATAGGCATCATGTGAACATATTTATTTTCCATTCAGTTACTTAATCAACACTTTTGTAGTTCATGGTAAATGCACACGATATGATTTACTCACATTTGATTTATTTTAAATAGCAAAGCCATCTCACAGAGATTACTTTGAATTACACAGTAGGCAAATAAATATATAGGACCATAGAAGAATTAAGGACATTAACAATTGGTACAAAATTATTAACAACACTTTGAATAGTGCAAAACCACACAAATACTGCCCTCTTCATTGAGATTCTTGCATTGAGTCCATTCAAGGACAGTGGATGTGTGTGCTGCCCCCTGGTGGGGGATTATTAGAACTGACAGTACTGTATGTGGCATGTTGAAATAGAGCATAGCCAATCATGAGACTATGACCGTCTGAAACACGATGTACACAAGTAAACCTACTCGCTACAAGTTGTGAAAGAGAGTTTCCACAAGAATGGTGCTGTTAAGTCTTTGTGCTGTGGTGTTGATATGCATCGTTATCTGTTAAAAAGGGTCACAAAAGGAGGGAAACTGAAAAAAGCACGCACTTTTGAGAAGCTGAATACAGTTACATTAAAGTCGAATGAATCTCAATGATAGCAGTGGTCTTTCTCAAAGGGACATTTGAGAAGGTCACTAAAGCCAAGGTGTACAAAATGTGAACCCCATCACACACACAAGACTTTGAAATGTCAAAGGGAGAGGATGACAACCTAAAACCATGTGGCAGGTAGTGCCCACCACCCCTGAGTGAAAACTACTTAAAAAAATTAAAAAAGGTTGTAGCACCATCAGATACCACAGAACGCTAGCTTTGCCATTTCTTCTCAACCCAAAACACCGTGTCATGGATTGTGACAGGCACAAACACATTTTTTTAAAGTGCGGCTAGCTCGCTTGAGCTGTTCTTTCATTCACATCTATTTTGTCTTCCTACAAAATTTCCTTCCCCACAAACATCAAGCTCCATTTAAAACAGCACACAAAAAGAGTAGTAGTAGTAATTGTTGCCATGCATAATAATTGATTTGCATATTTAAATTTCCTTTTGGCGCCACTTCTTTACTGTTTAAAATTTGGGACCTTACAGCGAGCGTGGTTGCAAATCTCCACTCAGGTGTACTGGAGTGAGAACGCATATGAAGTATCAGTCAGGTGTCGATATTGCAGACACATGCATAAACATTAGAAATACATTATTGATGCTACTTTAAATAACCTGAAAATTCTAGAAATGCCGTTTGAGGCCTGTCATGGACAGAGGTTTGTAGTTTTTTTTCCTGCAGGACAGAACATCAACATAATTTAAATTTAACCTTGCCATACACAAACACTCATCGATGAAGACAACCTCGTCTTGTCCTGTTGTACTAAATATTTGTGCATTGATGATGCAATCAACCAGCCGAGACTGCATTGAAAAAGAAAAAAAACCTCGGAGCATTGATCATTAAAGGATTTAAATCATGTCAAAGGCGAGGAAAGTAATACTGCAATCATTTCTGGTTGGAGAAGGAGAGAAAGGGAAAGACCATCAGGAGAAAGACGAGCCTGCTTGGGCTGATCTGATTTTGGGATTTCAGTGATCATCATTTCAACCCACAGCTGATTAGGGAACCATTCAAAGAGAAACACCCCGACAGATACCGAGATAGAGGATAGACAACTCTGTATAAACCGCTGTTAAACGGAAGGGTAAATCAGAGATAGAAAATCACTACAAAGTCATCTTAGTGCACTCATGCAAAAGATGTGCACCGTGTGCATCTTTGGCTATGCATATAGCACTACCCCTCTGCTGTTGAGATGCAATAAGAAGAACTACAGCGGTCTAATGCTGATCGGTATAGCCCTGTTCTGACTGCATGCTCAAGGATGAGGGGTGTGTATAAGAAGGACAATGAATAACATAAATTCACAGATGTTGAACAGTTTCTGTCAGGTAGGTGTCCGTCAAACTCGGCTAGTCTGGCATTTTTGCGAAGCAAGAGCGGCTTGGCTTTGGTTTGAAGGTTCCGACACGCTGCAGCCAGGCAGAGTGTGGATGCATTTTTTGCTTGGCTCTGTTGGACTAAGTCGTGGCATGTCCATTTGTCTACTGCACTAGGAGGAAGGATAGCCCTTCAAGTTAACAAAGTGTCTCTTAAAAATTGCACATGTTGGCTGTCTTTTTTTTCCTCCTCTAGCCAACAGCACCAGCCATGGCGGGAGCACAGTCTGAAAAGGTGAAATTTCTCCCGCTGTGTTCTGCTGAATGAGGCCGATGATAATCCTCCTGTCATGAGTCAACCGATCTCTCCTTCCATCGCTGAGGGTTATGTGTCTTGGCGGTACCTAGGAAAAGAACACAAGGAGGAACTAGTTGAGAGCGGTATTTCAAAAGCTAATTAAATACACGCCTAAAAATACTCAAATACTTAGTTACAATGCAGCAAGGCTACGCCTTTAACAGGAAATCGAATCTACCGCTTCCTGATTCAAGAATAGAATTATGTAACAGAAGAAGCAATCATTGTAGGATATTTTAGTCTCCAAACATAAACAACAACAAAACCGCAAGTATTTTCTGTGCACATTAAGAAACTAAGGATTGCTTTTACATTTGGAATACAGATTATTAGAGAAAGCCCTCCTCCTTTAACCTTCTCTCTCTTACTATGTGAACAACAGTAGCCACAGAGGGACAGTATTGTGAATATTAATATATAATAAAGATTGTCTGGATGAAAATAAGGCTGACTTTACTGAAATCTCCTTTGGCACAACATAGCTGTGATGCAGATCTGCTGTACAGGGTTAATGCTAATAGTAATTTTTAAGACTCTTTGGTAAACAATTCATGAGTTTTTTTTTATGAATGTGTGTCCTTGGACAAAGACAGCATTGGAAAAAAAGAGAAGAAGAAAAAATCTGAAGCGAAAGACTGCTTACCTGCTCTGTAAGGTGAACTCAGGTAAAGCCCCCAGGGACGTCAGCTGTTCCTCCAGAGCCACGATTCGTAAACCAATGTAGCCGGAAGACAGCAGCAGCAGCACAACCCTGAAGCACACAGAGAGACATGATAGATCACATTTGATGCCTTTTTTTCCACAGAAGTTTAACAGCTTTTTTTCTTGATTAATTTATGTTCAGCAGGAACTTAAGGCACGGCATATAACACTTGCTAAACAGCAACATGGACTGCCAAAATAAATTCTTAAAACAAAAACACATACAAAGTTGGCAAGTGTTTTATTATGTAATGAAATCCTGCAAGATTACAAAGAACTACCAGCAGGGTCACACTTGGTGTGACATTAACAGTGAGAAAGCGATTCAGGTAAGCACAATGGTAGATGAGTTACTGGATTAATAAAGCCAAACAAACAATGATTCAGTATGTAACAGAAGAATCAAGTGCTACTTACAAAATCAAGTAAATGAAGAGTAGAGTGTTGAGGGTTCTGGCCTCTCTCTGAACCAGCAGGGACTTGGCCTTTTCTGTCACATTCCAAACCCACGAGCCACCTGAACATGGAAAAAGACACGTAGAAGCACAGCATGAATACCTACAGGCTGATGTAGGTGGCTTTTGATTAATTACAAACAATGATTCAGTATGTAACAGAAGAATCAAGTGCTACTTACAAAATCAAGTAAATGAAGAGTAGAGTGTTGAGGGTTCTGGCCTCTCTCTGAACCAGCAGGGACTTGGCCTTTTCTGTCACATTCCAAACCCACGAGCCACCTGAACATGGAAAAAGACACGTAGAAGCACAGCATGAATACCTACAGGCTGATGTAGGTGGCTTTTGATTAATTTTACTTTGCAAGAAATGATTGCATAAGTATTTTATAGGTAACATATCATGTAGATGGTAGCACAGAGTAAAAGCTCAATAAAGTTATGCACACAAAAACTGGGTTCAAAATCATGATAAAAAAATAAGTCATAATTAAGTGCTGCACGTTTTTTTTTTTGTTAGCCAGCATCTGTTTTTTCAGGATCAATCACATAACATGATTCATAAACCGGCACACATCCCAGTCCAAGTTTTCCAGGGCTTTCCTGGTAAGTAATGTTTCTTCTTACCTGAAACTGAGAGCTCCTCTGAGGACGAGCTTTCACTCGGCTGCACGTGTAGACCCCTGAAAGCCGAGCCGTTCCCATTAGGCACTGCATCTGAAGAGCGAAGAAGAGTGGGTTAAAAAAAAAAAAAAAACAGTCAGTGGAAGCCTTCCATTAGACTTTTGACTAATGTGTGTGACGCCTGGCTAGACCAGAAAAGAGGACAAAAGATAAGAGCACCTAAAACAAACAGTCTCACACTGGCTGTCATCAGAGAAGGATTGGCATTATTTTCTACTCACAAAAAAACATTCTTGCAGCGTCCTTTTTGCACTGTGCTTACTGTGAAAAACTGTTTCCATGATGCCTGTAGGTGCAGGTGCAACATGTGTTATGTAAAATAATTCAAATGGTGTTAAGCGCTCACCTCTGTGAGGTTTGTGCAGAGGCTGCTCCTGTAAGGATCGGGACTCAGAACCATCAAACTGGTCGAAGCTGTCATCCAGACTGGACTGGCTGGAGTTCTGTCAAAATAAGAGAATCATGTTTCAGCCCTGTGACAACAACTCAAAGACATTTTAAATAGAGTAATGCTGACAAAGTGTTTCTTACCACAAGTTTGCTTTTATCAAAGCTGTTTTCAGCCGAGGAGATGATAGGGCTACTATTTGTGCTTCCCTCCTGCAGAAGAAAGACATGTTGATGAGTCATGAGAAGAGGTTTTAACATCAACGCTAATAGTCTTAAAGTAAGATCTGAAATAGATTTGAAAGCCAGCGTTCTCATATCAGTGCAGTTAATCAAAAAATTGCTACATCCAATGTTAACATGTGCAACAAGGTGACGATGGCAGGGTTGCTTCATGTTTCTGTAATATTATAAAACCCCAAAAAAGGTTTCTGCAATGAGTGAATTTACATTGTTGCAATACTTTCAAGACACAGTTAACGACATGCAGCTAAATCGTTTTTTTGCGGCATGTTTTGCAACAATAGTGTCATTAAAGGAATAGGTTTATTACCTGCACTTTTTAGTCTTTCTAATGTCATTCAACGCTTATTCAAGATTTAGGTAAAAGTACCATATATTTTGAGCTACTCACCTCTATCTGTGGACAAACTGAACGCAGCAGCTGATAACATGATTCTCTGTTCCGCAGCGACACAAAGAGGATCTACAGAGAAAGAAAAAGCAGGAGATTTTAGCTATGAGAACACTGTGAACTTAAAACAATAAAATAAGCTCAACAATTAATTCACTTAATGACTCTAGTTATTAAACAAACATCATAGCCTTGTCAGGTTTGTATTTAAGATTTGAAGTGAGAAACTGACCTTGTCTCCTTCAGAGGTACGGATGGACAAGGCGTTGGGTACAAGCAGAGCTGTGTTCTGCTTCTTTACTATATGGATGCGGGAAACTGGAATAACTAGCTGTAAGAGCAAACAGTCAAAAACAGAAAAGGTTAGAGAACCATTTTTGAACATCACAGATTTGAGGTCAATATCACATTTTGTTTGATAAGTCAAAACAAAGGAAAGGGAGGAGAAGGGGTACCTTAGTGTCTTTGAGTAGCACTGATGAGTAGAAACAGGCATGGGTGTCTGTGATGTACAGCCGACCGTGGTAGGGCACTTCTTTCTGCAGGGCGCAGATGTAAGCTAAAAAAAAAAAAAGGAGAAAAGAAAAACAGTGAATGAATGAAGCACACAAAACTGAAACAGAGCAATATGTTCTCTCTCTGTTTGTTTTAGCGGACCTACCATGTATCAAGTCTTCATTCTTGGGAATGTGTGGAAACAGCTTGTGGAATGTTTTGTTGTGCTTCATAAAACTCTAAAAGATTGAAGAGATTTTTAAAAAAAATGTTTAGGAAACTCAAAAAGATGATCATACAATTGGACATGATGTTGCACTAAAGCATCACAAAGCTCTACATATTTCACCTGACGTGTAAAAACAATGTTGTGTGAACTTACACTTTGTGTGCCCGTGCCCTCCGTCCTCTCAAAGCCTTTGCTGTCAACTTCAAATGTCTGAGACCTGCAGAGACAAAGAACACAGACGTCAATTTAAGAGGAAGTATGTGGCTTATGCAGGTTCAGTTAACCTGAAAAGACAAAACTATATGTAGACAATATACAGCTGTCAAATGGGGGGGGGGGCGGTTACATAAAGCGTTTTATAAGGGTCACATATGAAAACTCTCTGTCTGAGACTGGCAGCAGGTTCCATATAGTAAGTTCATACAATATAAAAAGTTGTTTAAAATAAGCAAATAAACGGACTGAATTTGAAGCTCCTATGTAAAATGACATATGTTCGGAGTTGCTCGGTAACCAGTGAGTCACGTAGGCACCAGCTGAGATGAAGTTTGCTTCTCACGCCAACAAATAACACATTTCTACCACACACATCTGAATCATGTGAAAACACCGTGGGTCTGCAACGGCTGTGCAGTCATGTGTGTATCACGACTCACCAGCCGCTCAGAGTTAGGCTCGGTCTCGTGATGCATGTCCATAAAAAGCTGTGAGCCTCCACAAGAACCAGTGCTTGATTTTACCGATTCTAGTGTGAAATCATATCGTACCCACGTTAGAACGAATTTCAGGGTCATGGAGTTTAAGTTAAAAGGGAACACAGTTGATGGGAATACACACGAGTTAAGAACATGGCTCGGCTTACATATTTAACTCCTACGCTCTCCTCCATCAGTCTTACCTGACTGCATCTTGTCTTGTGAGGGTTTTGTGCTGCTGCTGGATCTCCAGCTGGGCCGCCTCCAAGCTCAAGGCTTTCCTCGACTCCACCTTCTTGATGCTTCCATTGCTTAAGCTGCTCCTGCTTTTCTTCACTTTGACTTGCAGCCCGCCACCGCTGCTCTCTACTGGGTAGCTGCTGAAAATGAAAGGAGAGAAAAAAAGATTTATCTACATGCAAAACACAGTTTTAAAGTCATTTCTATGTGCACACTCACAATGGCAATGTGAAATGGGTCATGTAAGAGTAAGAGCAGGATCCTTGTGCACCACCGCACAATTACTTGCATTTGCATGACCAGGCAACAATCAGTCAAACTCTCCTCAAATTGAAAGTCATGTGATGATGGCCACACTAACGTTCTGCAAACAATGAGCTTATCTTTGTGGTGTGTCGGGAAAGGTTAACCTTTTCCAGTTTTATTGTTATCAGTTGCGTCAGCGCCGCGGCTGCACAAAAAAAACACTGATGGCTTTACAAGCTGGTCCACATACGCAAATGCTCTTAAAACTTACCCTTTTGCAAATATCAAAATCCAGTAAACTCCAACAACAAGGAAGGTTGCATGATTTTACGACAACTGCTGTTCTCATTGCATGCCCATAAACAAGAAACAACAACTGCAAATTCGAAATAACCTGTACCTGACTTGGTGTCGTTGGCAGGTGAAGGTGTCACAACAAGACAAGCTGTTTAAGAGTAGCCTCACTATCACGTAAGAAAAAAAGAAAGACACTAAAAACGACAGACGACAGGAGGATAATCTTACCTGGTTATTTTAAAACGCTTAGATGAACGAAAACTTATATACCTACTAACAGTAGGCATTTCCTTTGTCTTCTGTGGAAAAAAACCCTCTTAACAAAGTGTTATCCAAAAGGCTTACTTATTGGCTCTAGGCCATCAAAGCTGGTAAGTATAAAAGAACTTAAATAATACAATGTCCTCTAAATGGTATGGAGTTGTGGTCCAAACAAGTAGTCCTTTAAGTTAGGGTCCTTCACCACATCCTGCCAAAAAAAACAGCTCTTGCTTGTGTTGCTAGTGAAGAGGAAGTGAGTTTGTGTTGAGAATGGTGTGACACTCCGTAGTGAGTGACGTCAAACTTAACCACTCCCCCAAAAGCCAAACACACATGAAACAATCTGCCTCTGATACACACAGAGTCAACCAAGCACAACACGGGCACTGACATGTTTGAGAAAACAAGGCCCGTCCCATAAAAATCTTCCACTCACATACTTTATCCCATACATCAAATCCTGTCCTGTTGGGATTTGTTCTCATGAAGCGAAACAGGATCTGAGACTCTTCAGCTCAGCTCTGTGTGAATGTGAATGTGTGAAATAGTTGTGAGGTGCTTAGACTGGCCTGATCTAGGAGTGGTCCATTATCTGCCTCTTTCCTCAGGCACTGAATTGTACCAAGGAAACAGAAGAACAATAACACAAACTTAAAAGTAGACATCCTTACACGGTATGTTCAGTATGTAGAGTATATTCAGACATTTGAGGATGGTGACATCAACTTAGCAAGAGATAAATGACTTCTGGTACTATGTTGATGCACAGCTTAAGTACCAAACCTAAAAGTTGTTTGCATCTTGGTGAAGGAATATTTCATTTTTATAATTCCACCTCAGCATTTTTTGAACCACGTCTCCTGAGTAATTGGTGTAAAGGTCATGGACGAGAATAGGAACATTAAATGCAAGATTCCTTTACTGCAATCAGTCTCAATTGACAATAAAAGACAATCCGCCATACTTATACAAATAAAAAAACAAATTTAAAATTCTATTGAAGAGGTGTTTCACTTTCACCCTTCACTTCTTTTTTACTATTTTCAGTCATAGAAGCTTGAGCCTGTTTTTGAATGTTAAGTTACACGTTTAGTTTAGGGATGAGCATGTTTAGTCAACTTAACTAAAGTTAAATGGCATCACCATCGCTTGGCGGCACTAGAACTCCTAGTCTTAATTCATAAATTTATCATATTTTGGCCCAGTATTTTGATGAAGAAAATGGAGATTAAATTGTAAATAGGCTGTGTCAGATTAAACTGGCAGATCAACCAGAACAATGCCTTATCAGTGATTTAGAAAAAAAAAAAAAAAAAAAAAAAAAAAAAAAAAAATCAACCAGTAATCTTCAGGCAGGTAGGATTCTAGGCTTGTAGTATTGAGAAATGTCCCTGAACTATTGACCAGGTGTTTGTTTTTGGCTCGACTGACCCATTTCCATTCGTCTGGGGGTTAACAGTGTCAGGGCAATTCAAGCATTATTTCAGGAACATCGTCTGTTTGGATTTCTCAACGAGTTCCTCTCTTGACTCAGAACTAACCGTAACCATTAACAAGGTCATGTCGACGCCTCTTTCCTTCCACTCAGGAAACCAGCAGCTTCTCTCAGCTGTTTCAGTAACTTGTGCTTTATTTCAAGGACACTCCAAACCTCTGCTTAGAGGTGAACATTTTCCCACAGAAGCCGGAAGTTTAGAAGAATTATTTGGTCTTGATCACAACAGAACTTAGATTGCAAACTTTTTTTTTTTACCCTTAATAAAAACCTGTCTCTGCAGTTTAAAGTCAATACACAAACAGTCCTGCACTCATTTCTACTGGGTGTGGTTTTTCAGCTTGCTGCTAGTCTTTATAATTGCAGGGTAATATTTTATAATGATTATTCTAATTGTATTGTTTGAAACGTGACAGCAGGTTGAACAAAAAAAAAAAATGTGGAAGAACCCAATAATTTAAGTTCCACGTGGAGGAAAATGAGTCAACCTCATGGCATATAAAAGGTTCAAGGCCAAGGCAATTCAGGTTTAATGGCTGTGACAATAACCAGTGTAAAGGGAAGCAGAAATCAACAAAGTGGAAGAAACCATACCAATTAAATGAACCCTGTGCCACATTTAAGTGGTTCTTTTATTGACCACTTGGTATTTACAAAGCAGGAGTTGGCCTACCTGAAAACAGGGTTTGAAATAACCAGACCGAGGCCTTGACCCATGACCTACTTCCTTGTTAGAAGTTTTACACCACCTGACAAAAATCAATGTGGAGCCTAGCACGCCCGACATATTAAACCAAGCATCGGCTTATCCAAGTCTCTAAAGCAGCCGATTACAAAAAGACGCGCACGAGGCTATGGGGCATTTATTACCTGGATACACAGCAGAGAACAATTTGTGTCAGTGAGAGGGGAAAAACTAGTGAACTACAAGCTCACATGATAGCATGTTCTGTGTAATAGAGATTATAGATTTATACAAAGCAGTTTAATCAATTCCTTTTATCTGCATTTGCTCCAGTACTACATTATAAGACCAGAAAAATCACTTCATCACACTGTCTTGATGGTAATAAGCTAGCATCCATGACCACTAGCATGTTTTTTTTTAGTTTACAGAGATCCTGTTGAGACAAGAAATTAGCTTATCTTTTTCATTGCTGAACACAGCAGAAATAACATATCTGATAGGACAGAAATGAGACCGATCACATCATGATAAACGTATGACAAAAAAGTGCAACAAATTCAATATTTCTTCCATGCGTCAGTGGGAAAAACAGCCAGCCTATAAAGTTAACAATCAATGTTGTTCAAGTCAGCCTGCCCTATCCGAGGGAATGTTATAAGTGCTGCCTAATATCTGTGACTGAATTAGTTTGCTAGTCTTACCTTCCCAGATCCTCGGGGCAACGAGAATCGGCCACAAGAATTGACCCTTTCTCCATGGCAAAAATGTCCACAATCTCCAGAAGCTTGCAGCCACTGCTGGATAAAGCAGGCAAATGACGGAGCACAACAGCTGTACCTTTTGCACTTGGACCTTAAGCCCTGACAGTGAACTGAAAGAGTGTAAAGTTCTGTCTGGGTTCAATGTTTAAAGCACTGAAGAGATCAACACCAAGCCAGTCACACCACGGGAATGAGAACAGAAAAACGAGGGTGAAAGAACAGAACAGAAAAAAAAGAAAAAGGGGGTTGGTTGGGGTTTAAGCCCTCACAAGCTTTGTCCTTTTGAGGCTTAGCATGAGTTGTCGTGGAAACAGTAGTAACAGTAGGGGGGTGGATTGTGCAAAGGGTGGGTGGGAGATGTACAGGTTGTTCTCACTTTAGATGGTCAAACAACAACTTTCCACAGCCTGTTCTCCATAACAAAAAGGAGAAGGCTTTGAAAGCCCCCAGTGCATGACAATGGCACAGCTCATGCTCTTTGTGGATGATGGTAATGGAGCTAATAAACATAAAAGCATTTGTGTTTGAATGGAGGGAAATTGGAGTACAGCTCCAAGTACAGACTGACAATCAAAACAGTCAATAGAATAAATGTGCACTTAATGTAGCACTTGTTTCATTCACAAACCTCTACTGGGGGCTGACGTTCATCTCTTATTTCTATACCTATGACTTCACCGTTCAGGGAACTCACACTGATAAAGTCAAACTGCACTCATGACATCAGTCCTAATTTAGCCACAACTTATCAGTCCTCACCTCCTGCCATGTTTTCACTGTAAATGTAAAACCAATCGATGGAATTAACTGTCATTGAAATAGATTATGGCGCAATGAACCTCCTGATTTCTTACAGATAAACCTCATCACAGTGTACCAACACTAGACTTTATATGTTGGATTGAAATGTTACAAGGATATCCTTTATGTCAAAGGTTCAACAGGCAAACGGGCCACTGTTATATCTGTTAACTATGTTACCCTGATTGCACAAGATTACTTCCTTAATCTCATTAGAGATACTACTAGAAGAGCTACATAACACTGACAACTAGACAGAAGGAGATTTACCAAAAAGTTATTTAAACAGATAAAGGGGGTGACCCTTTTTTGTTAGTTTGTTTCCTTTTTGCGTCACTGGAAGCTGTTGCGGTTAGTGGGGTGAAACTACAACGCTAGTTCCTCATATTTTCGACCACTGAGGCTACAGACCTATCACAGATCAGTGGGTGGGAACTCACTCCCAGAATCGAAACGTCCGCCATATTGCTTGGAAGCTATGCTAACAGGCTCTATGAGGAAAGCTGATAATGGCGGAAAAATATAAGTATAGTGGTGAGAAGGTTGCTGCCGACAGGCCGGTCTTGTGTTTTGGCTGCTTCGGCCACTGGCCGGCGGGGCCGGCGCGACACAAGACCGGCCTGTCGGCAGCAACCGTCTTGCGGCTATATATAATTTCGAAGATCAATTCTAAAATGTAAATGTTTTTATTACTATATTTCTACTGCTATATTGTATATTTTGGAGAAACTGTAATGATCGAATTTCCCTCTGGGATTAATAAAGTATTTCAGATTCTGAGCTAGAGGACCTTAGTGGGAGTGGCCTGCGGTGCTGTGCATTCTGGGATTTGTCTTTCATCCACGAGCCAAAAAGACACTTTCTGCCTTTTCTCAGGCAAGAAGGCACCAACTTCAAAATGTATTTCTACTACATATATGACCCAATGTCAATACAGATTCATGTTTCAACGGGTGAAGTATCCCTTTAAACGCTCCAATATTAACATGTATATATTTTTGCTGACAGTTTAATGAGGACAGTAATATGATGTATAATGTTTGAAATTATGAATCCAATCAGCACAAGACATTCCAGCCAGCTGAAGAACTCCTCAGGGTATGGCGTAAGGAATCTTTCATACGAGACGGAACCAGTGATCCCAGAAGTCCTGCTGCACGCGTCAGCATTACGTCAGCTGGTCTTCACTGCATGTGCCCTTAAGACAAAACTGCTTCTGTATAGGATGTTTATGTCAGAGCTTTCCCACAGCTGACATTACTGCTGCAAGGACACAAGCCTCATGAGGATGACATGTGAGTCTGAACTAAAGTTTAACATTCATATAAACTGAATGGGATCAGCTGAGAATTTGCTGAACCGGTTAGCATGAGAGCACCCTCTCCTGGAAAGCTGAGGATATTTTTTGTCACGTGAACAGCTGATTCGCTGTCAAACCAATCAAAAACAGTTTCTTCTGAAAAGCAAAAAACTGCAGACTGTTGCAGCTGTGCTTCATTGAGCCAAAGGGGAGATGTTAAAGGTTTTTGTTGAAATCAAACCAGACCACTGATTTAAACACCATAGCATCTAGGATGCCTAATCTGTGTTAATGTAATTTTAGCAAAGTATGCCACAACTCTTCAGCAGGGTTATTTTATGGCAACTATGTCTGAATCAAAACCGGAGACTAACAACTAGTGGCCAAAATGTGCAAATTAAAGACAACCCAATTCATTATTCTTGGATTGACTGCAAGAGATTGCATGTCAGTGCATATGTGTGTGTTCTTCAACAGAACAGTCGGGAAGGGCAGAGAAGCAAGCCAGTGGTCATGGCAAAGTAACATGCAGTCCTGTGGCACCCTGCCAGGCCTCAAGTCAGTTAGCCAACTGGAACAGAGTGCGCCTGTGTAAACGTGTTACAGAATAAGAGTTTGTGCGCATGTGTGAGTGTTTGAGTTGGGAATCATGTGGCCTTGTGCACTCAGCATCTCTCCCCCCCACTTCCCCTGTGCTCGCACACAGAGGGTCTTTCTTCAAGGCGACTCAGTACTTACAGTGACTGGGCATGTGAGCGGCAGGGAGGGGTGGTGGCGTGGTGTTGTGTGGATAGGTGGAGGCTGAAAAATCTGACCTGACTATAAATTTGTTAAAAGAAAAGTCGGCCACTCAAAAAGTATTCAGGTAGGCTTGCATTTAATCTCCAGTAAAACTGTGTTGATCTCAGCTCCTCACAAGGGCAGGATGTGCACGTGTCAAGAACAAAATGAACTGCGCATTCACACATGGAGACTCGGAATCCTAGTAGGTTACTTTAAAATATAGCAGTAAGGTCCATCATGAAAGGTTGTTTTCACATGAAGCCAAAGTCTTACGATGCTAGGAGAGCACAGAACAAAAAAGATACTAAAGCATTGCATCGAAGGCCGTGTTAAAATGCAGTGCAGTCCAGAGGCAGATTCTCCTGAGTCTCAAACTTTTTCTAAATAGAGACAGATAGTCCAGCCTTCAACAAGCAGCTTACCTGGATTTACAAAGTTCATCTTGACATTGTGAAACGGTTCAAATAGCTTACTTAAACATTTGTTTACAACCACAGAAAGCACACATTGTCTACAAGGTAACAAACCAAATGTGATCCTGTCATTAGGCATTGACATATGCATTTTAAGATAAGCCTGGATAAAGCCTCATGTGTCTGAAATAGACTGCCCTAAGGCAACTACTTTGGGGTGGAATTCATCCGGCTACTGTGAGTACCAAAAGGTGAAACAGCTGAGAAGAATATAGCCCGTTTTTTTCTTGGCTCTGTGACAAGGGCAGAGAGGTGGTCATTAGCACTACCTCGACAGAGGCAACACATGACTTCAACCCTGACCAGCTGTAGAGTACCAAACCCTTCATTTAGCAATAAACAGACTTGCAGATGTGGTTTTCGTCCTCTAACTTGGGCTTTCCCTCTGCATCTGCAGCACGTCTCATAATTTAGACCCACACTGTCTCCCTGCCCACGGCGGCACAGAGGCTCTGTCTGGGGGAACATCTTCCTGGAGCCGGCACAGCTCTTGCAAAGCAGCCCCACCCAGCCTATTCCAGGATCCTCCATCTCAACAAGATGTGCAGAGCGATCAGGTTGTTCTTCATTGGAATGAGGCTATTCAAATATTGCTGCTGTGTGCATTGCAAAACCTGAAGGGTTCAGCATTTAAATGTTATTCGATTGGTTAATTTCAAGTACATAACTACCTTTCTCTTTTTCACCTTCATAAATAGATTTTAAGAATATTAAAAAGCTCAATTGAAAAGGTTAAAATGACTACAAATGCAGACTTCACACTGCCACAACACCGTTTTACAGTGCTTATGCATCTATAGGTTTGTTGCTGAAACAGATAATCCCTGTACATACCATGTTACAGACACATCATAGCTATGCTGATAACCAGGAGGCCCAGTCTGATAGGCTGGGGCGCTGTTACTCCTGCAAATGGCTATCTATGGGGAGGTAAGTGAACAGCCAAGCTCAGAGGACGAGGAGTACTAACACCGAGAACCGGGGAGCATTTATATAACACCATATACCACCTGTGGTCGCCTCATGGGAGCTAAAAATAGGATTTTCTGAGAAAACATACAGTGGCTCGTCCCATGTGTGATAAGTTTGAGTGTTTGCCAAAGGGTAAGGAAAAACATAATGTATGTGTGCATGTGTGTAAATGTGCTTAAATCTGGCTGGGATCTTAAAAAAGGCCAGATCAGTCATGATCATAAAGGGAAAATAAAAGGGACGCCACTCCAGCCCACTTAGGCAAGTGGGTGAAGTCATGATTTCTAAGAAGGAGGCGCAGGCAAGATTAAGAAGTGATCTGGACTGGCTTCCCTTTTGTATGTCACTCTAACACATGTAGAGCTCTTAAATCATGCAGCTACAGGACGTAAACAACACACAGGTTATGTGGGTCAACAATTGGGTTAGTGGAAAATATTCTATGAGAAGGGGGGGGGAGGCAACATCAAAGTTAACAATGAAACTCCCAGCATGATATTAGTAAAATTACTATTTTAAAATCAAACTCAACAGTTGTAGTAGCCAAATTAAACTATTCCTTGATTAAGTGTCCAAGACCAATTGCAATGAATCTTGACAGAAGAGAGTCACCACATTTACCGATGCAGGGTTATCCAAATCTGGCACAAAACACACCATGTCACCTTTGTCAGGTGTTTGTTTTAGGTCATCACCAGTTCAATCAATGACAGACGATAGTAAAGCCAACAACCAGGGTTATGCTTCACAGTGTAGCTACATCACAGAAGCCTCAAATCACCATCCTTTATTCAATAAAGACGAATAAAACGACTGTTTCTATTCCATGACTGCCCTTTAATTACATTCAACGCGAACATCCTCAAATCAGGCGGATGTTTAGCCTGCTAGCATTATCTACCCCCCCCCCCTCCCTGACAGTAAAACGCATTCTTACCTCGAACACGTTTCATTTAAAACCCAATTACCCAAACACTTAAATAATAAAATAACATAGGCTACAATAATCACATATCGTGAGAGAGGGCTGTGTGTGTGTGTGTGTGTGCTATCTGTTAGCATCCATCCTGTTGATGGAGCTCGCCGGCAGATAGCGGTTCAGCTAGCCTCATTATTACTCACCTCTCTTTCATGAAATGCTTGATTCTGACGATGGCCTTCTCGTCGATCTTCCTCAGGAAGGTTTTCAATCTCTCCCTCTTGTTTTCAAGCATTCTTCCCTCCGCCGGTGGTCGTCGGTTCGTGTAGAAACGACGCTCCACGCCAAACTCCACCGTTCGTTGTTTGGCTTCTGCTCTTTTCTCTTTCTCTCACTTCATCTACGGCTGATTATGATAATGAGCCTAAATCGGACCAAGTGCACCGACCAATCAGCTTCAGTGACGACTTGGTAAAAAGGGTCATGTCAGACCGATTCTCCAATCAGAGCGAGGTAGTTGGCTTCGAGGTGAACGCCCCTTACCTTATATGGAAGCCGGGGCCGTCTCACTCTTCAGACCTTTAAAGAGAAGGCCCTGTGTTATTATTGTGCTGGTGTAGTCCTTCTTAATTAATGTTTTACGCCCGGAATTAGCGTTTCACGTGGGAATGGCATGGGGAACATACATTGTGGTTCTCAAACAGCAACACATGCCACATGACACTTTTCTTCATCTCAGAGAGAAAATAGTTGTAGAGGTAGCCTACACCAGGGTGGGGCTGAAGCAATACTGTTTACATACCGCTTTACATCCTCAACAAGACAAAAAAAAAAATGGATTTATTATAGCCTCAATTTTGTACCTTTGCATCAAAAAAAAAAAAAAAAAATCAAAAATTTAATATTATATAAGAAAGTGTGTTGCTTCTTTCTTGGATTCATAGCCTAACATATATTTTGTTACCACTAAATGTGACTATAAATAAGAGCATGTTGCAGAACAGGCTTTTAGGTTTGCCATACTACAATAACTGACACCAGCCATCACATTAAAAAGTGAAATCATTGTAATGTCACAAATCTCAATGAGCCAGGAATCAAATGAGCCAATTCATTATTTTTCTCGTGAAGGGAAGTGGAGACCAGTGACTCAGAAGGCTGATCAGTTGCTCAGCTGGTGGCTTTTATTGTAACGCCACAGCATGAAGCTGCTGCAGCCAAGCATTGTGCATGCAGCTAATGAAGGGCCAACCTCCCACACCAACACCACCACAACCACAACCATACCAGAGGGGGAAAAACGACAACTGCAGCAACAAATGGAAAATTCACACACCTAAAGAACATCAGCAGACCAAGGCTGTAAGAGCAGAGTCTTAGCTGTCATGTTGTTGTCAGGCTGGATTATTGTATCTTTTACTTTAATGATATGTTACTGGTGACACCAAGGTTATAAAAAGAATAATCATGAAGTTTATGAGAAAATCTTGTTGAAATAACTTAATTGAGTTACTTACAAAACTTATTATTGTTATTACAATTATAAGTGGTAATATAGTTTACAGTGGCATATTCTGTTCAAAGTCTTTCGTGTCAGGCTTCTACCATGTAAAAGACAGATACAAATCATAAATCTTGAATAAATCTTTCCACAATTTCCCAGTTTGGGATCAATAAAGTAATTCTATTCTATTCTATAAAGATGACCTCTTTCAGCAATGTTAATGGATGACATTTCTACAATTGTAATGTTGAACATTCCACCCCATTATTTACAGCTATAAAATACTTACTGTGTTTTTTTTAACAATGATAAAATACCATTTTCAGGGAAAGTGACTACATCAATGGATTCTATTTTCTCTTGATGTTATTAATACGTCACACTATAAAAAAATCTACTGATGAAGACCTTGAACACAGACAAAAAAAATCACTATTAAATAAAGGTTCGGACAATTGCATATTAATCTTTGCATTGAAACCACTTTTCTTCAGTAGGCAGCTCATGCGCTGCCACAACGCCCAAACAAACGAGGCAGTGTACTGCCACATGACACAGCAAACACAAAACAACCTCATACAATGCGGCCTACACAAGCCTGCCGTGGTCTTCCCTTCCGCCCCCTCTGCCAGAGACATAGCAGATAGAGCGGAGGAAATCACACTTTATTAGGAAGTCTGTGATGCAATGAGGGGGTGTCAACACAGCGTCAGCAGCAACAGGCCATTTTGTGCTGCTTCCCCAGAATGACAGCTGGATCAATAGTGGGAGCCACGCAAGCATCCAGCACTCATCATCGGTTTGTCATTTGGTCTGAGGTCATCTGATAAATCCCGATTTTGTTTGGGAATTTGAACACAATTTAACATTCTTAAGGCCCTGTTTTGCACTCTTGTTGTCTGCGAGACTATACTGTGCTGAATTAACATTCAGCACAGTATAGGCCTTAAGGTATGAATAGCAACTGTGTTCCCGGTTGTAACAAAAAACGATTAAAAAAAGAAATACAATGAAATAAAAGAAACATCATTCTTATTCAATTAAACTCTGAAGACAGAACATTTTCCAAACATGAACAGTCACAAGGGCTAAATGACTTACCCTTGTTCTAGTCAATATTTGTTAAGACGTCCGTGTTAGTGAGCGAGAAAAACACACCATCCGTTCACAGCCAATCAGCTTCCAGTTCCATAAGAAGATCATATTCTGAATAATGCTTTTGCAAACACTTCAAATACTTTCTTTCAGCTCTCCTTTCATGGCTCTAATTACATTATTTCTCTACCATAAATAATCCCTGCATAGTCAGGAGGCTTTGTTAGGCTGTTGGAATTGATCTTGTGAATTTTGCTTTTGTGTAGAATTGTAGATCGGTTTTAATTAATCTTAATTAATCTTAATTAATCAGTTTTTTTTTTAACAAACCAACTCAATCTTACAAAATCCTGTTGATTGCTGACTTCCACCAAAATATTTGTTCTTTCTCAAAGAGTTACATAAATGGGAAAGCCAGCCTGTTATCGCTCCTGTTAGCTAAGTCAGTCTTCTGTTTGCTTTAAATGAGTATAGATAGAGGTTAGTGTGTCTCTGCAGGAAGAGAAAGTGAGTTTAGTTTGGAAAGCTGACTGTTATCTGCTGCAAACTGAATGTTGTGCTTATGAGACCCTCAATATCAGCTGCTAGAGCAAACACTCTGACCTTGGAAGGTAAGTAACACCTTGGCCTGGATAAAGGGGGCTGTGACGCACAGAAAGCTGCAGCCGTGTACGTTGAGGACAGGTGTGCAGGAATGCTTATGAAGCAGGATGGGAAAAAAAAAATCTGTACCACCACTGTACACCGACAGAATGTGTTTTTTGGCCTGATATTATATGTATATATGGAATTCATGTCAAAAAGTCTGTTTACATTAATCACTCTATCAATTTATTAATTTTGCCCCTTATTTTTTGATTTTTTTTACAATGGGCAACCTTGATATTATGCTGTAGTTCTATGTTATCTGTAGGGATGGGGGGTATTATACCTGAAGATTTGTATTCAAAATGTTCTTTTGCTGGAATAATAAACACAGTTGTGGATAAATAAACTTTGGAGCATTATGTTATTGCAGCAATGAAAATGTGGAATAAAATTGAATTCAAGGCATTTTAATTTGACCCATCAATGACCCATTATAAGGGCATATCATACATACCTGTACTGGAAAGAATCTTTGTCTTAGGGAAATCCCAATGGGATCACAATGCTGGTGACACATTCCCAGCTGGCATTTGAAAATGGAATTTTTATGGAATTTCCTGATCCAGGCAGAGAGATAGTTAGCTTGTTGTGTCCTGACGTGAACGCTTCCCTGATTTGCACATGAGTAACGCATCACAAGGGACCAAGTGAGACAAATACAAATTTTTTCAGGCAATGGATCATCTGACAAGCACAAAGTGAGAATATTTTGAGATTTCTTTCCACTATTGATTAAGTTCTGATGAGTGACGAAATTCCTTTACCACACTACATAAGTCTTGTATTTGTTTCAGACTATCTTTCTCAGCTACAGGATAATGGATCAAGTTTCTTTAGTCATAAACCTGTACAGAATATGTATTTTGGGAGACTATTCTGTGCGTTTAGTTTTACAAATAAAATTAACTTTTGCTAAACATACATATTCAAATAAAAAGGCAGCATTTGATCCTGGTTACATAGGGGTTAATATATGACATAATAGTCTGGTTGAATATTTGATTCAGATTGGCTGAGGATGTTAGCTAACACCACAGAATGGACACAAACTAGATCTGGTGAGACTATTTATTGACAGTTTTAAATGAATACGCTGGTTACGTAATGTATCAAAAGTACATGAAAATCATTTGCCAGCTTAAAACTTATTCAAACAATGAAGTGTTATATAAAAATTTAGACTTGGACTTAAGCTATAAAAAAGAGTAAATGAGAGGTGAACAGGGTAAGGCTAATTATTCACTACATTTGGAACATTTACAACCTACCATTTCTGCACGTTACAACCTACCATTTCTGCACGTTTGGCTCCTCTGGGAGTTTGTGACTGCGAGCAGAAACATCATTCCTGGCGGGTCGCGAACCACCTACTCGAGAGACTTTTTGCTGCAGCTTGGACTTAAAACTCATCATCCTATCAATACAGGCATGCTTCCCGAAGAAATTCTCCGGGACAACTCAGTCAGCCAAGACAACTCCGCTCACAGAAATAACAAGGTAACCAGGAGGGGAAAGAGAAAGGGAGGAATCAGAGCCAGGCTTAAACGGGAGACATTCAAACAACGGCCGCTTCCATCTATCATCCTGGCTAATGTACGCTCCCTACGCAATAAAACGGACGAGTCACAGGCCAACATTAACCACATGCATAAGACTTGATCGAGACATTGAGCTCACTGGGAAACAACATGGCGGCGTGTGTCTTTATGTAAACACACGCTGGTGCTCGACGATCGTCGTGAGGGAGAAACTGTGCACCTCGGACATTGAGCTTCTGGCTGTCTCCCGTCTCCCTTCTCCCTTTCTATCTCCCCAGAGAATTTCCACAGCTTTTTCTCATCCTGGTTTACATCCACCCCAGAGCTAACGCAGCCACAACCACTGAACACATCACGAACTTATTAAATAAACTGGAACTCATATCACCGGACTCTCCCAAATTCATCTTGGGCGATTTCAACCATTGCTCTCCTGAAAAAGCACTAAAAGGCAACCAGCAGTACATTACATGCAGCACTTGCCTGGGGAAGACACTGGATAAATGCTATGGTTCAGTTCCTAATGCATACCGACCTGTTGCTCTCCCCCCTCTTGGCTCTGCTGACCACCATGCCATCCTGCTTGCTCCAGCATATACTCCTGTAATAAAGAGGGTTAAGAAAGTTGTTAAGAACATCAAGCAGTGGACCAACGAAAGCATTCTTGCACTACAAGGATGCTTTGAATCCGCTGACTGGGATAACCTCTTAGCCCCCTCCAACAACATTAATGAGCATGTGGACACTGTTTCATCGTACATCTCCTTGTGTGGACAACATCATCCCCTCCAAAACAGTCACAATCTACCCCAACAAAAAACCTTGGATCACCAAAGAGCTCAAGGAGGTCCTCAACAAGAAGGAAAGGGTCTTCTTCACCGGCTCCGAAATGGAGAAAAAGGAGGTAAACAGAGAAGTCAAGCACACCATAAAAACTGCCAAACTCAAGTACAAGAACAAAGTGGAGGAAAAATTCACACAGGGGAACCTCCACTCAGCTTGGCAGGACCTCAAAAACATGGCTGCTGTGAACACTGCTGCTACCAACATCAAAACCATCGAGGTTGCAGGCAGCAGCTCTACTTCTCTCCCCAACGATCTCAACTCATTCTACACCAGATTTCGAGAAAGACAACACCACACAGCTGGAAGGAACAGTGTCCATGCTCAAGCCCAGTGACTCTGCACTCACCTTCAGCAGAGAGGATGTGGTGAGAGCCCTCAGGAGGACAAGGGAGAACAGCTCACCTGGTCCAGACAACATCAGCGGCCGCATCCTGAAGCACTGTGCCGAGCAGCTAGGGGGCGTGTTTCAGACCCTGTTCCAGAGCTCTATGGACAGCAGCACAGTCCCCCAGCTGTGGAAACACTCCACAGTTATCCCCATCCCCAAGAAAAGCCCCGCCAAATCACTGAATGACCTCAGGCCTGTGGCCCTCACGTCTCTGGTGATGAAGGCCATGGAGAGGATCATAAAACAACACATCATCAGAGAAACCGACTCCAAGATGGACCGTCTACAATTTGCTTATCGTGCAGGCAGAGGTGTCGATAATGCAAAAACATTCATAATAGACACTGTTCACAAACACCTGGAGCACCCCAACACCTCAGCCAGACTCCTGTTTGCAGACTTCTCTGCATTCAACACCCTGCAGCCTCACATCCTGGCTGACAAACTTTCAACTTGCTTCCATCTGAACGACCAGCTTATCCTGTGGATATTGGACTTTCTGACCAACAGATCACAGAGAGTTCTGGTCAACAACACCTTCTCCAACCTCCAACACACCTCAACTGGCTCCCCTCAGGGCTGCATGCTCTCACCTCTGCTCTTCATCCTCTACACCGATGACTGCAGAACCACACAGCCAAACTGTCACCTGGTGAAGTACGCGGACGACACAGTTCTCCTGTCTCTGCTGTCAGGGCCCTCTCAGCACCATGGGCCAGTTCTTCAGGAGTTTGTGGAGTGGTGTGACAGCTCCTGCTCTTCCCAGCGTTTGAGTGGCTCCCCTCAGGATGCCGGCTTCGCTGTCCCTGCTGCAGGACACAAAGGAGAAGAGCAACCTTTGTTCCCAGGGCTGTCCAGCTCCTCAACTTCCATTAGCCATGCACCTTAACTGCCTCTGCTTTATTTGGTCTCATGCACTACATCACTTTACTCTATCCTTTCTATTTCAGTATTCATACAGTTCTGGTTACTTTATTCCTGTTGTTTCTTATCCATCATTGCACTACGGTCACTTTATTTATCTAATTTTTACCTTTACAGTTATATTGTATATATTAGTTCTGTTGTTCCATTATTCACCATGCAACATATTAACTTATCATTTTGTATTTGCCTACTTGTACATAGCTCTGTATATATATTTATTTCTCGTTTACTGCACATAGTTCTGTTTACATCTGGTCACTACTGCACATAGTTATGGTTACATCTGTTTACATCTGTTAGTCCGATCACTGTCCACTTATATCTACTCTTTTATATTTTGTATTTTTAAGTTAAGTTTAAGCTTTAAGTTGTATTTAAATTGACACTTTATATTTAGGTTAAAATGTTTTGTTTACTTGCACTGTTGTTAATTTACTGCTCTGTGTGCCTTTGAATTGCCCCCCGGGGACAAATAAGGCTTTTTGAATTGAATTGAATTGAATACCCCTCTGAATTTCCTGGATCTATCCATCACAGCAATTATCTTTTACCCCATTTGTTACTCAAGCTGCTACTTCAGGCTGCAGCCCATAATAAAAGCACCCTGTCATGTTCACAAAAAGTGTGATGTCAGTCTGAGAACTCATAGCTGGCTACCTAGCTAGTCTTGTTGTTTAACATACTTTCAATCTATATTTACTCAATGTCAACCATGTGTAATGTTATTTACTCTGAATCTTGCTAGCTTACCATTAGCTATCAGGCTATTTGCCCCATGAGCTGAAGAACTGAGCTGTGCAGTGGACCAAATTCCTGTTGCCAGGTCTTGTATTTATGAGCAGTTCTATTTCCTGGAGTATTGAGTGTTGAATTTCCATTAAACCTTATTGGGTGGAATGACTTCTACAGTTACTAGTCAGACCCTGCTGAAAACTTGATATTTTGATGGAAAAGTGCATTAAACACCATATAATTTACCACAGCATTTACAGCAATATTCACAATATTCACAATATCTGCAATTTCCACAGTAAGAAACACACATTTCAAAAACAAAAAAAAGGTTAACAAAACATTTGTCAGTCCTCTATATGTGGGCTGTTTGTGGGGTCTCAAAGGTCACTGCATCACTAAGAATTCACCATGGCAACAGCCAAATTCATTCAATGAGGCCAGTGAAGGGGGAGCACCAACACTCCCCACCCAGTGATATCACTTTACCTGTAACACTGAGGCATTGTCTGTGGCCATCTCTGAGCAGCCATTATTTTGCAGATATGCATCCCTTTTCACACTTCATAGGGATGCTGGCATATTCAGGGTCATGTGTGTGCAACATGTCTCGCAGCCAGACCGATATTAGGGATTAACCCTGTCTCTTGTGTGAAAAGACCTTTACCTGATGTGTTTTGTTTGTGTTCTTTATGTGTGAGCTAGCAGAGGCTTAGATGTAACACATTCTATCCTCTGCTCATAGGGTGTTGGGTTTCTGGCAGCAGGGTCTGGCTGGCCTCTTCCAGGTATGGTTACCAGGCTACTCTCATCACTAATTCATCTTCACTCCAAAGCCCTGGCTGGTTGGTTGGTTGGTCAGCTAAGCAGAGGGGGGGAAGAACACGGTTTTTCTCTTTGCCAGAGCAGTGGACCAACAGGGCTCTCAGAAGAAGACCATATCTGAGCCAAGGTCCGATGCAGAACGGGGAGGCTATGAGCCCACAGGACTCCAAGGCAGCAGGAGCCGAGGCCATGGAACACCTGAAGGCCCAGAACCAGAGCCAGAACCATGCTTGCGTGGAGCCAACAGCACCTCCTCTCCCTCCTCCTCCTTCACCGCCACCACCAGGGCCGCCAGAATACCCAGACCCAGGCTTATCTTCCACACACAGCTAGCTCATGGGAGTTCAACAGGCCGCATCCATGGATTCACCAACGTCAAGGAGCTCTACACCAAAATTGCAGAAGTTTTCAACATTTCCCCTTCTGAGGTACAAAAGAAACTTTGCTATGTGTGTAAATATGATTTGAATGATCTGTTGCATTTCCAGTTTTGTGAATAATGATCGAGGTAAAAAAATAAATAATAATCTGCTGATCCTATTTTGCATTTCTGGTCTGTCAGGCCTACTGCAAATAGGTGTAAGGTTTCCACTCCAGGCTTTTTTCCATGATGAACTATTGAAGACCATTTGGCCTCACTACTGTCTGCCAGACTTTGTACTTGTCTGGGCCTTTACCAGGATCAATAATGGAAACAAATAACAAGATAATGTTCCGTAGTCAATATACATCACACATGTGCGCCAACAAAACAACTAGCAGTAATAAAAGTGAAGTTTTTCATAATAAGAAAGTATGGTAAAAGCACTGAAAAAGGGTGCAAAGATATATTTATGCAAATATCCTAAAAAATGACTCAGGAGTTTTAGTTATTCCAGCTCATACAAACTTTACAGTAAAAATTTTGAATACACAAGTACAAGAGAAAGTCATTTTTCATGGCTGAACTTTCCTGACTGCAAACATTACAGAGTTTTAATCAGACAGTCCTGCCTTCTCACACAGGCTTTCTTTGATATCCTGGAGTTTCCAAAATAGTCTACCGATGGCATCACATGGATTATTCCGTCACACTTGGTAAAGCTCCCCCAAGTCACATGAGACATTAAACAACAGCTGATTTAGAAGTCTGAGTAGTATACTCCAGAAGTAAAATATACGTATGTGTAAGAATGGTGGAGTCCTCATACCCCTAAATATGAATTATTCTTAATATCTACATGACAGCTGCAACAACACTGTCTGTGTTTTAGAGATAGTACATTTTAAATTTAAAGTCCAAAGTATTTTCAAAATGATGAGACAATAAACTTCCCAGGTGATCAAAAGTTGGATTGTCAGTCAGGTTAAAAGCAGGCAGCTGCTCACAAGGCCAGAATCCTTGAGAATATGTCAAGTCACTAATTCTTTTGCAGGTCAGGGCCGACCAAACCATCTGCAACCCGATACTGCTCTCAATACTCGATACAACTAAAGACCAGCCTAGCTGTGAAAAAAAAATACTTCCATGCAGATATTAGACAAAAACCTTTGAAATTAATTTCTTATTCAAGGTAGGCATTTAAATTGTTGTTCTTTATCTGGAAATAAATTTGTCAGAGATATTGATAGTTAAAGAAAGCTATAGTGGCATGGATTAAGAGAAGAAGACAACCCATTTTCTGTTCGCAGGAATTTATTTAGAACTAGTAACACACTGTGAAAGCAATGTAATGCTATATTACAAAGAATGATTAAAACAAATCTTTTTGGAAGTGAAGTTTGTGGTTTCTGTGTGCTGCTTATCGCAGGATTCTCCTTATGTTATGGAGACAAACTCAGCAACAGCACAATAACCATTTGACATTGGCTTTATCTCATAATTATCAGTGTTGTTCTGAAGGCCACTGTGAAGGCTCTTCCTATCTGTGTATCAACTGTTAAACATAAATTACTGACGCTGTAGGGACACAGACTACAGAGATCAAATCAAGCTATCTGATAACTGTTTCCCTGTATCAACAGATTCAATTCCTCAGAGCGAAAACAGTTCTATTTGAGGAAAACTTGTTTTGTATGTGACTCTCAGGTTGTGTCCAATTGAAGTATAGGGACCTTTAATTCCTGTTGATGTCTTTGTCTTCCTGAGGGTATATTCTACTTATTCTGTGTGCTCAGATAATCTCCCAGCCACCCTGAAACAATGTCACTTCAGTTAAAAACGGGAGAGACTATTTTTAATAAAAACAAGGCGATGATTACAGCCTAACATTAAAAGAAATGCTGAAGAGCAGAGAAAGCCAAGTCTGTCTAAAACAAGTTCTTATATAACAAACTGTGTAATGCAAAGGAACCAATAATAAACAGTTGTATGATCTTCTTTTTTACATGGTTAAATCAATTAATTGCTCAATAATGGTAAAAGAAATGACACTGATAAGGATAATTGCTGATCTAATGAGGTGTATAGCTACATAACCTTGGACTGCAGTCAGATTTTTTGGTACAAGACTTTCTATAAAAAAACGCAGACAGTCGTGGTGTGATAAGTACAACAGTTTCCTTGACCTGCTGTGCACTGAACAGCAACAGCATAAAGTTACAGTTCAGCTCAATGCCAAAGAAGACCTTGGACTGCAGTCAGACCGTTCCGCTCGGCAAAACGAGTTACAGTGAGCAATATCTAAAAGGCGCTGCGACGAGTGAGATAACAGTTCAAACAGGTTATCTTGGATTTCCGCTTTGGATTACTTAATCAAACTTGAACTTTAACCTTTCAGGATAACGATCTGTTGTTTGAAGAGTGTTTTAAAATCAAGATATTTAGTCATGTCAAGTTTATTTCTATTTTTGGAAAATGTAGTTCTAAACTAGCAAACTATTTTGAATAAAAGGCCAGAGCTCATAGAGATGTTATGCTATAGAGTCACATGTCCAGTCCAGAAATGACAGTGAGCAGACTGTGCTCTTAAAGGCACGTTCTCTAACACCTGGCCAAGATTTAATGAAATGTGATGACCAGATGTTTATGTAGAAAAGGTCTCTCTAAATGTATCAATTGTATGATGCTTCTTATTACTTTGACACAATCTTCTTTTTTCAATCATTAAGCTTTGTACCTTTGTAAAAAAACAAAAAAACACCACAATTTAGGCACTTAACTCATACAACAGGGAAGATCTACAAGTTTTTCAAGACAGTCATTACAGTCACAGCTCATAACAAAATGGCCACATGAACCAAAACCAAATAGTTTGGCTCTGCTGCCCTCTGCTGTTGTATCGTCATAAAGAACAGCAGAAAAGAGAACACCTCAGAGTGACGGGGTTACCAGAGAAACTGACATAGCATGCTATAGTTATTGGAAATGATTGTTTACCGACAATAAATTAATCTTATTTTAAGCAGCTGGGATATTAAGGTTCAAATTGACATAGCGGTTACTGTAATAGTTAACTTTTGTATTGTATCTCCCTCTTAGATCTTGTTCTGCACCCTTAACTCTCATAAAGTGGACATGCAGAAGCTCCTGGGGGGGCAGATCGGACTAGAAGACTTCATCTTTGCTCATGTAAGAGGCGAAACCAAAGAAGTGGAGGTCACAAAGACAGAGGACGCACTGGGCCTAACTATCACAGACAACGGAGCTGGATATGCTTTCATTAAGGTGAAGACATGCACAGGAAGCCCTGTCATCTGATGTTTTAGAAGTCTCCAGGCCTGGCATCTAAACATGTACAAATGTTCAATCTGTCTCTTTTTAGAGGATAAAGGAAAGCAGCACCATAGACCAGCTGAAGACAGTTTGTGTTGGTGATCACATCGAAGCCATCAATGACCAGAGCATTGTGGGGTGTCGACACTACGAGGTGGCTAAGATGCTAAAAGAGCAGCCGAGAGGGGTACCCTTCACTCTACGCCTGGTCGGGCCGAAGAAGGCCTTTGGTGAGTGAAATAGTATTTCTCAATCACCTGGCTTCAGGGCCAAAAGAAGTATGTTGACCTTGCATGCTGACCTTGTTTCACTAGCATTTCATGGTTATAAATCCTCAAGGGTATATTTATTAGGGTTGTCCATGCAAGGCCCAAAAGCTTTATTATTACTAATCAGAAGACCTGTGTTGTTCAATGTTGACCTGCAGGAGTTGATGGATTTCATTAACTGGCACATATTCCTATCTGATCAGGTTAACAAAAGACAGGCAGATATAGCTATGAGCTTTGAGAAGTGGGTTCTCAAACACAAACACTTGGGTTTATACAAAGAGAACACAAATACCTTTCAGATGCTCCTCTGCATTCACACAGCAGTTTATGCCAAAGAAAGTGTAAATATTTGATCACAACGTTCTTGTTGTGTTTTCCCTGTTGCTAGAGAACCAGAAGGGCACTTTCATATCACCCATCTATCTGGCATTAGTAAAAATGCACAACATAAATATTTGGTTTACAGTAACTGGCTCCAAAGCAGGTCACTGACATGACACTGATTTGCCTTTTTTCCATTGACATTTGACATGTATTCTGTACAGCACCTTTCATCATGAGACCCTCCTCCTTTTCCCCTTGGAGAAATGCTGTTCTTACAAAAGGACATTAAGTGGCTCATTAGTTACATCTGGTTTGGAACACAGTATGGAATAAAGGAAGTCTGCATTTCTTGGTGCATGTGGTGGCCTGGCCAGGAGCAAAGCTGTCGTCTTATCAGACAGGAAACTAAATACATGATAAACGGGTGACTTCCTGTTAACAATCAGGCAAAGGTTTATTGTTCCCATACCCAATGATGTTTTTCGGAAACAATGCTTTCTGTCTCGCACTTTCTGGAAACCTTGTTTTGTAGCTTTAGTCTTTATTGACTGATTGATTTAGCAAAGTTTAAATTCATCCATGTCAACTTTAAAGGCTTACTATGCGATTTTTTTGATCCAGCAGATGTCGCCCTTGTAAACAAAGTGAAGATAGGACTCGGAAAACTCGGAAAGCATCACAGACAGTGGGACTCTGGTGTTACACACATTGTAGTCATGACTCACAGAGTTATTTTCAGAGGATATACTTGATTTCTATTACATTTAAGTGTGAAAAATATAAAGCCTTTAAGCTCATCAGAAACAATACATCCTAAATAATCAGACATTGTGTACTGCTTGGTTAACCTTTTCTTAAACTATAGGACCTCAAAATAACACAAGGGTTTATTATTAACCTGGTTTGGGAAGTTCCATAATCAGGCACTATCGATCGTCCTAAAAGAAATTGATGAATGGAAAGATGACGACAGAGATGAGTAGTAAACACAATGAGAATTACAAGATGAATAAATATAAACCCCACAGATTGTCCCTTTAATTTGACTAATGTTTATCATCCTTCATGTGTGCGTGAAGACATGATTGGAATGAGGACCAGAGCGCCCAAATCGAATGAGGGCAAGATGGTGAACGGGAGGGAGACGCTGCGTCTGCGCTCTAAAGGCGCTGCTACAGTTCAAGAAGTGGTGAGTTTCACATGCTCTGCTGGATATTGACCTTACTTTCAGTTCTCTTAAATAAACAAACAGGAAAAAACACCCATGCAGAGCTCCCAAGAGGGACATAAAAGGACTGAAACGACCTGAACTGAACCCCAGTAGACTCATGCAATAACTTACACGTACACACTGTCACACAATATCAGTAACTTTTTACTCAGCTTCGCAGGAATTGACCTCTTCAAACAAAGTGACTCTTACATCCTGCACTTCAGAGCAGACTGTTTTACATTACACTGACCTCACTCAGTGGTGATTCTAGAGTCTGTTGGGGCCTTAGGCAAAACTCAATTGGGGGGCCCTCCAACCGGCGTTCATCATCATCATGTCTGCCAGAGTCCCGACGCTTCCTCCTCTTCTTCTCTTTTCTTGTTTCTTTATTCTCTCCTGTAGATGGATAATTTCTCTTAATTTTTCTTTGTTGACTTTAATTGACATACTTCGGTTTAACGCATGAAACATTTAGCAGGGCAATGAGAGTGATTGCTGTCAGATGGGGCCCACTTAGGGAGGTCTCCTACTGTCATTGCAATACTTACAAATTATGGGCCACAGCTTTGGTTTAAATTTGTGAGCCCTCAGAGGCCCCCTACTGGTCTGGGGCCCCAAGCAGTTGCCTGCCTTGCCTGTTGACAAGCAGCACCTCTGACCTCACTTCATCATCGGTTGATCGGTCACCATTCTTTAAGAAATTACAAATTAACAAACACTTAATTAATAAGCATCATTAATTAATATTAATAAACAACAGTTACTGTAACACCGACCAGCAATACTTGATTTAGAGTAACTGGGTCAAAAGACTCTAACCATTGGTAGTGATAAATCATTCCCAAAGATATCCTTGGCTTGTACATGTTTTGGCATTAGTGGAATTTGAAGCAGGGCATGTATCTCCATATTTAGAGCTGGAGCACCACCACATCGCTGATACCTCTGTATTTTCCCCTTTGCTCTCTACCAGCAAAATGAATTTGAAGAACAGGCCACCAGGAAGGTGGACGACCTGCTGGAGAGCTACATGGGTATCAGAGATCTGGAGCTTGGTAAGATCACACACAATCACACATGTCCTTCAAGTACAGTTTTTATATAGGCCTACTGTATGTGACGTTTTGCTGAGGTCAAGAATAAACTTTTACACGTTAAAATTAGGCAGAAATAAAAAAGCCAAGAATTCCGCTTTATTGTTTTGTCAGCATAGGAGGAAGTCCTCACTTCTCTGGAAGGAGCATCAGGAATTTGAGTGGGATGAGTTCCTTATTTTAACAGTGATATGAATTTGCACTTTCCCAGACCTCCAAGGTCATAGGCCTGATTTCCATAAATAGTAATCTTAACACAAATCAGGTCATTTATAAATCTAGTCATCTCCTTGTTGTTTGCGTGAACCTTATCCAGTAAAAAATACGTGTGGTTGCATATTTTCATAAAGAATTTTCATGTTTGAAAGAGATAGCGAGCTTTTGTACCTTGACCACTTCAGTCTCATGGAAATCTGGCTTTTAGAAAAATCCTTTTTGGGTTCTGTTGTTTGGACAAACAAACAACTTTTTCTGAGACAAAGTTAATGCTGAGATTGAGAATTGAGAGGTATAGGGCAGATTTAGATAGTCTGAATTTACATTAAGCCTATTATTTAGACATCGGATAAGATAAAGATTGCTTTTGTTGGAGAAATGTTTATTCCTAAAGTATGTACTGTATGTTGGCATCAAGCAATTTAAAATTGTGTTTGGTCTTTAAATGCCTGAATACAGACCTGATATAGAGACAGCATTTGTGAAGATTTTCCAGAATTGTCTTTTGTCATTATGAATTCTAATCAAATTTGTCCGGGTAAAAGACTAGGGTACGCCCTCTGTATTGATTTTTTTGCGCGTGTTTTACTAGCCAAAGTCATACATTACTTGCATTTATTAAGAGTTACCAAAAATCTATAAATCCGTCTTATTACTTGTTTTCTGCAGCAACCACCATTGTGGAAGCAGGAAAGGACAAGAAGAACCCTGATGACTTTGCTGAAGCCTTGGACTCAGTCCTGGGAGATTTTGCCTTCCCTGATGTGTTTTTGTTTGATGTTTGGGGAGCTATTGGGATTTCAAGAATGGGAAAATGTAGGTATTTAACACCCCATTTACACCAGAGAGGAAAGACCACTGTTCTATACCACATTAGACTTGAAACTAAGAATTTGTTGATGCTTTTTATGTTGCCTTCCCACCAAACTGCATTTAGCAAGCAATATTGTTCACAGGGGCCTAAAAAGGCCAAGCGCATCACGACAGCACAAAAGATCTGAATCATCAATCATCATTAACAGCAAATACACAAGACCATATAATACAAGAACAGAGGCGTTTCGCGAATGAAAAACCAAAGAAACTCATTTACAGCAAAGGTGCATTACATAAGGTATCAATGCAAAGTACACTCCAGAACCCTGTAACACACATTTATTACAGAATGTTTTTGCTGTTGAGTTTGTTTTGACTCTTGTATTTTGGAATGAGCTTCGTCTTTAGATATACAGTAATGGTTTTTCAATTGGAAAAGTTTGGGCCAAATGCAGCAGGATTGCCCTCTCTGACCACTAGATGTTTAGTGGAAAAAGGTGAAAGAAAAATTGCCTGTCTAAGATAATGAGTAAAGGGAATGTTTTAAGGGCTCTCTACTATTTACATAACAATCATTAAGTTAAGGGCATGTGAACAATGTAACTGGAACACCAATGCTAAACAATCAGCCAGCAATCTCTGAATCAAGGAAGTTAGATAAGCTTCAGTGCATGTTTGTCCTGTGATGAAATCATACTGGGGAAGAAACAGGACGGGACCAAGGAGACATTTCTGGGTCATCTCAACGTCAGACTGTATCTTTTCACTCGGCCATTTGACCAATTACCTTTATAAGCTTGAAATCTTCACATGGTCTCCAAGTACTTTAGGTTAATGTGCGCTAGCATTTGTCACAATATTATCTATAGAGAATTAGTTGAAGAAAAGGCCTCAGACAAATGAAACATTTAAAATAAATCTGTAATTCAATAACATCCTATCATTAACTGGAATTTTATTTAAATTCTGAAAAAGCAATCATCCGAGGAGAAACCTCAAGGGGCATTCTCCAGCTGCTGCTATGTGACCCCATTATTCCCAAATATCCATAAGAGTCAGACAGAAACCAAAACCATAACTTCCCACAACAAAAATAAAAACCTTGCAAGCCAGGTTTATTTTCTTTGGGGTCCATACCATACAGAGTTTTCCTGTAAAAAAAATCTCAATGCAAACGGAATTGCTTTCTGCTTCTGCCAGTGATTTACAGGACTCTTCTGGGGTTTCTTCTAGTGTGTAAATACACTAGGTGAGGTCATTGAAGCTCTTCTAAGGTTCAATGTGATGCTCTCTGTTTCTTTTGCTGCATTGGAGAGTTTTAAACATTACAAGACAAAAAAGGAAGAATCAAACGACATGTTTGAGTTTGATCGTTCTGTTTTCTGTCTCATTAACAAAAGTCACATCCTTTGCATGGAATCCAGTTCACACTGACCTGCCAACATTGGGAATGTAATTAGACTCAACCTCTCAGAAAGTGATGTTTTGTTTTTGACACTTTGTATATGGTTACTCCTCTTGAATAAAACCTGAATATATAAGGAACTTTTCACATGTTTAAGTAAAAAACAAACAAAAGAGAAATAATAACTGTAAAGCCCGTTCATTTCTCTATTCATTTTTATTCACATGTGCAATCACATAACATATCAGGCAAGTATATTCAACATATACAACTTCATTTTTACATGACAATACTGCTAAGAAGTTGAAATTCAAGCAAGACATGTGTCAGACATTTATCAGTGACTGGTTTGGTAAATGAGATTCACTCTAAAGAAGGCTACACATAAGACCATTTTAGGTCGATTTTGGGCCTGATTTGCCAATTTAGCAATAGCCAAAAAGGGAGCAGACCGGGAAACGTCACCAACCGGATGTTGCATATTTTAACAACTTGCCTCTAGCTCAAACTGCAAATTATATAAAGTGACGCGTCTTAGGCAGGATTTCAGGATGTTTGTTTTCTGTTCTTCGCTGCAAAATAAGAACGTATGGCAGAACAGAACATGTTTGTTTTTCTTCCGAAGTCACATTTGATCACACAAGTTTCTGTGATCTTGTGTCTGTAAATCATACTGCAACATCGGCATCTGGCTGATGATTCCAAAATCAGTGGAAATAGCCCGGTGACTCGGAGAGAAAGAACTGACAGCAGTAGTTCATGTTATCTATTAAACTATGGTTATAATATCTTTTTTTTTTTTTCTTTAGAATGTTGCTTCAATTTAACAATACACTGCCCAACTAATCAGACTGAAGTTACATTTTACAACGACTAAATCATCTCCAGCTCTCTGTTCATGCTCTCATAAAACACCTCCTGTGCTGTCATTTTCTTGCAGTGTTAGTTAAACATCTCCGAGAGGTAAATCTGCTCTGTACAGCATGTTTTCAAACATTGGACAGAGGCCCAGAGGAAAGGTTAGCAGGAGAACGACAATCATATTCAACCAGTAGGATTCTTATTCAAATTTGGGCCAAAACAAAATTTTCATTTGAATTTTAAACTCTAATGTAATTCTGGGTCTGGGAAATATGAGAACAGGTAATATTCACCAGATCTCAAACTGAGGTAGGTATGCACATACACACAATTAGATAAGACAATGACATTTCGTCCAGATGGAAGTATTAGAATTCAATTAAAATTAGACGACACACAAGACACCTTACATTTTATGTCTCATCATCTTTCTTAAAGTTTTAGGTGCTAAAACAAAACAACAGAAAGTTATTTATATCTCCAAAATCAGTCAAACCAAACCTTAATCTTCATCGTTGGACTCTTGACAGTGGCAGCTGAGAAATGTATGTTCATTTTTTTGAGGTGATCTGTCTATTAAGCATAAGACAGTTTGACATTGATATGTATATTTGTATAAGTTATATGACATATCGTCCCAATACAACAACATCTCCATTCTTTATATCAGTGATGCAGATTGGCGGATGTCAAGCATGATGTAGCATTTATGTTAAAGCAACTTGTTAATACTACAAAAATACTGTGGCTGTTGAAGTTTACAGTGAAAAAAATGGACAATTTTGAACTTCTTTCTCCTTTTGACAAACCAGGAATCTGATGAACAGGATCCCATTGTTAAAACTCAATAACTGATCCTTTCTTTGTCACCAAATTTTGTGGGTTTGCTTAAACAAAGAAAATATTCATTGTAATGTATTAAATAGGTTCTTACAAAGAGAACTTTATGGGAGGCCTCTGGCAGTCTAAGTATTATTTCATTTGAGTCAAAGCATTTTCACACAAGCAGCTGTACAGGATGAGGACCAGCCCGGTTTCAGTATGACATGCTCCATTGTTTTATTCCAGTCTCCATCCTGAACTGGTTTGATGCACCTTTAAAATTCAAAGGTTCTTCAAACCATCTCAGGATGAATTCTCTCAGAAAGGAAACAATTTAACAGTCCTTGGCATGTTCCTGGAAAACATTAATAAAATATTTCTTCCAATGTCTGAAATGACACTCCAGAGCATCTGAGTGAAAAGTACATGTGTTTAAAATTCAGAATGTCCTACCAGAATAAAGGATCACATTAAATAGACTGCATGAATGACTAGAGCCCCTGTTCCCTCTGAAAAAGCTTTCATGTAGTTAGCTAAAAACCTGTTTCTTATCAGACAATTGTGCTTTGTAAACAGGCTACAGAGACAATATATTGAATTTGTGTTGCTAATACTGCTAACAAAATCAAAGATATGCAAGAAAACAAATCATACTATCATCAAAAATGATCGATACAATCCTGATTCTTATCTTGGTCACAAATCACGTGAAAAAATATATTCAAACACATACTGAAAGTCCCTCCATCTTCTTCAAAAGCAACTCAATCCAACCAATCAAGTTTCGTCTAAGCTCACGGTACTCGTAAGTGAAGGGCGTGTGAACCTGCGGATGGTGCTGCCTAGAGATGGGTACAGTGTCATGATTGAGCCCCGAGACCAGTCGAGACGGGGGAAGATTCCCTTAAGAACCGCCCTGCGGAACAGGATGTATGCCCAGGGATCCAGGATCTGGTTCCAGGTGGCGAAGCGTATCCACAGCAGTAGGGATCTGATCTGAAGAGGAACTTTGGACAGCACAGTTTGGGCAATAAAGACCTGGTGGGGAAGGGATGGAAGTGGGGTCGAGGATGGAGAAAGAGTGCAAAATGAAAGAAGAAATGATGGAGTGAAGGAGAAGGGGAGGGGTTAGATGTCATAAATGTGAGGTTTATAGAGAAGAGGCCAATCAGTTGAGATCAAGAAAAAAAAACAGTCAGAAAATGATGTTGAAAGAGGGAAGAAGAGATGGGATATAAGGAACAAGAAAGAAAAGATACATTTTAGTTAATATTGCAAATGAAAAAGGACAAATGTGTTCAGTCCACCGGGGGAATAACTTGGCTCAATCTTCCCATGGCCCTCATGAGGTATTAGGTGCTCAAACCCAATTATCCCATCCACTTTAGCAAAGCTGTGAAAATGTATGAAAGGCAAAGCCTTAACCATACAGTCTCTTGTGGGGGCAAAAGATGCTAACAAGCTCCTTTAGTAATGATACATTAACTGTGATTAGCATGCAACAATGTTTCACATTTTAACATAAAGAGCAAGAAAAAACAGTTCCCCGAATCCCCGTAATAGTGTAATAAAACTGTGTTGCATGCATGTGTTGAGATGAGTGCAAACGACTGTTTTATTTAAGCAAACTTTTCTCAGAGGCAGAGATGCTACAGAGAGACTAAGGCAACAAAAGAGTCACAGGTATCTTGGATAGAAGTTCGCTTTGTGGTTGAATTCCACTTACACTGTCAGCAACATTCATGCTCAAATGGAAAAAGGCTATTTTTGAGTTGTGATTATCAACTAAGCTTGACTACAGATGAGTTAAAGTGACTGTATCTGCCAGAAGTATCACAATTATGTCACAATTCAGTGTTTACCTCTTATCTGTGAGGATTACTTGCAGCTCTGCTTCAAAGAAATGTTTGAGCAACAAACTAATTCACAATCTGCAGATTATCAGGGCTGTGCTGAGAAAGCAGTTAGTTCAAGGGAATGAAAGCCATGACAAGGCAAAATCACAAACGACGAAGGCTGAAAGTATTTAGTCAAATGTTTATAGACAGACTAGGAATGGAATGAAGTAAACGTAGCAGCAGCCAAACCAAGATGGGATTCAACGAAGCAATTTTCCCAAAGATACGTTTTAATCTTATGGACAATGGTTTGGAAGCTGCAAGGCTTGGTGTAAACTGTGATGTGCAAATGATCCTTTTCAGGAGCTTTATTGGCAGATGTTTAGGACAGGCTGAGGTAGCCAGCCAACTGCAGCACAAAGTTAGCAGTCACTATGGGGGCTGTGTGATTGTAAAAACTTTAAAGGTCCTTTTGATTTACTTTTTACTCGCCTTAGTCGGGACACTTGAAACATGATGTATATCCAGGGGTCAAATATCTGATTGCAGGTGGCCATTCGTAAGTAGAACAAAACAAATTCATCTCTGACAGGACCGGCCATCACCACACTCACCAGAATATATATCTGTGCAGGGTGTCACACAACTGAGGTTAGATAGGACAAAAGAGAAATATGGGTTCCAGAAAGCCACAACCCATTTATTTCTAATCTGGATGAGCACAATTTAGCTTTGACGCACTAATTTGGTCAAAGTATTAAAGCTGACAGAAGGATAGATGGCAACAAAGGCTTGGGTGAAACATAACATTGGCAAAACAAAAAGATCGGAAAACTATGAGGTGCTGACACAAAGAAACAAGACAAAGAATAAAACATAAAAGAAGATTAAGATGTACAGTTCAATCCTTGCTCATTAAGAAACATCATGAGCTGTTGATCACATTTTGTTTGTGAACTTCTCAAAAGGCACTGCTCTACATTAATCCAGTTTTTGATAAGGATACAATGGAAGGATGGATACATAAAGAGAGTACACTGATTCTGATTTTAAAGAACAACTTGAGTTGTTCATACTTCTATGACATCCTACTTTAGTAGGATATTTCTGAGATCTCAGAATGGAGCTACATTCTAAAAAGTAATCCAATGAGGGAAGTGGTTAGAGTGTGAACAAGTTTGGTAGGTCAAAGTTAAACTAGGAAGCTGGGCATAGAGAAAGTTTACTGTGGACAAATACGTTATAGTTATACCTTAATGGGGCCATCTACCTTTTTCTTTTCTTTCTATAGAAATATCGCTGGTCTGGGATTAGCTTTGAACCCCAGATTGTTGACAGCTCATGATCCTGTTGGAATTATGTCATCTTGTGATGAAAGTGGAAAAATCATCAATAGGGATTATGTTAAAACCAACAGAAAGCATAGCTGAAGAAAGAAAAGTACAATTGACTAGGTATTAAGTCAGAGATTTCCTTTAAAGGAATCGATTTTAAACATGTTCTTAAGCAGAGATGTGTAATCTCAACTAAAGCATTAAGGGGCCCTCTGATCTGGGGTAAGACCAGAAAGATGTCAGATCAACTAGTGGGGAAGCTGCATGTCTAAGGAGAAATGAAGCATATAAAGGGAAAGCTTAAGTAAGGCGCTTAGGACCTTGTGACACCCTGTTATAATTCAAACAGTTTAGGTCAGGACTGATATGGAACATAGCAAGACAAGAACAGGTACTGCTTACGCAGGGATTCGTTTTTCATTGTAGCTTTATAATTTTTCATGAAACCAGAACACAAGGTATGACAAACATTTGTACAGGACTTACTAAACTGGAATTGAAAAACTCACCAAGAGAGGACACCAGCAGATAGAAGCAATAACCATGATGAGGATGAGCTGAACCATCATCTCTATTTCGCCATCTCGGCGGCGCTGGGATCGGTCTTCTCCACAACACACCTTGATCAGGGTCACGACACTTATAGTGTTCAACAAAAATGACACTGCGATGCACACCAAGCCGACTAGAGAGAAGAGCAGGGAGAAGACCAGGTCATTTCCCTTTGAGCTGATGTTGAAGAAACACCAAGAACCCGGCATCTGCATGTGGTAGCTCCCAACGTTTATTAGAGGCAGCAAAGCTATGCAGCCGGCAATCAACCACACCATCAGCACCATGGAGACTGTGCCGGCTTTGGATTGCTGGTGGAGCGTGCAAATGGATAGTTGATGCCAATAAATCGCTCCAAGGCCATGGCGGCACCAAGCAGGAGTGGGCACAGTCCATAGAAGACCATGGACATGCCCATGAAGTTGCAGAAGTGGCAGTCTGGATCTAACTCCCGCCAATTAAAGTGTGTAACATGGAAGGAGATCACGATGGAGCTGGTAACCAGAAGACCCATGAAGTCCGTGACCACCAGGCCACCCAGGAAGATCAGGAAGGAGGATCGTGAGCGGCTATGAGTCCGTCGGAAAGATTTGAGGAGAACTACAAAGGCGATGAGATTGGAGAGAAGACCCAAACTGCCAAAGATGGATGAGAAGTAGGCTGAGGCGATGGTGGGTTTGAACGCGAATGGGGGACTGTTGATGGAGTAGCAGAGTGGGGTGTTGTTGGTGAGTGGCTGTGCTGAGGCATTCATGATGGTCAGCTGTTGAGGGGTGAGATATTCCAGATGAATCAGAGATGGTAATACAATGCCAAGGTGAACGGGATCATTTCTCTCTTCATCCTTAAAAGCAAAAATTAGAAAATTATATTTTGATACCATTCTTTATGATTTGAATTTTGGCTTGGAGCAATGCAGAGAACACAAACAATATTATAAAGCATTGAAACATACAATACAAACACAATTTTGAAAAGGAAAGTGCAAGGGAAAAACTGGTCAGAGCAAGAGTTAGGTTTTGTCACACTACTGTATAAACCCTCACCCAAGCAACTTATACTGATCCAAATTCCAACACAACCCTAAACACCTATCTCTAATCCTAAATCCAACTCAACTAATATACACACACACATGCATGCACTCACACACAGAGCGACAGCATGGGACAGAGAAGGAGAGAGTGACACAGAGATAGACATGGAGGAGAGAACAGCTGACATATCCTGTCAGGAAGTGCAGTTATGTGAAAAGTACTTGAAGAGACACTAACAGGAAGTAAACACGTGTTTTCACAATCAGCCGATGTTGTCCCTAGTGGGCTGTCCTCAATACACTGCACGTCACAGCCAAGTTGTTTATAACTTGCCTCCACCTTTGGGGGTTGGCTGGAACGTGAAGTGACAAATCAAATATTGTATATGTATAATTTATAATAAATCAATAATCATCATGTTTGTTATATATCTGTATGGATTTCAAAATTAACCTAATTTAACAATGTTATCGAAAGTAATTTTACCTGATTGGCTAACTCTGCCTTTTCCCTCTATTCAAAAATTCCTAAATCATTTAAGATTACGTAGATGGACCAGTGTATCCTAAAATGCTAATGAAACCACTGTGTTAACTTTTTGTTTGCTCACATTTTATTAATGAAGAGAGTCATTATACGGTAAGGGTAATGTTCAATAATACCCTTATAAACTGTGCTGATAGTGAATTAAAAAATAATCAAAAATACAAATAAAACCAATACAAGAGGACTTTGCATTTGAAGGCAGTGGGTGAGTGATAATGATTTTGACCTATACGATTAAATATCCACATATTGTGTCATAAAAATGCCTATACGGGACATTCCTGCAAATGGAAATGTATTTTACTTCCCTGTAGTCTGTTGTTTGGCTTGCATACCGGACTGTGCAGGGCAAGGGCAACAAGTAAGCTGATCTAGAACGCAGGGGTCATTTGAATGTACTCCTGCCCTTTGCATGAAGTTCTTGCATCAATTACTGCTCTTACAAGTCCCTGTAATATTGCTTTATTTTTGTTCAACTTAAAGAGCATTCAGGAAAAGAAGAAAAACATCAGGCTCAATGCACAATGATGCGTGAAAATGCAATTGTGCATTGCTGCATGGCTCATTTTCACATGCTTAATGTAGCACACAAAGACATCTGAGGGTCCACTACACAACAACATTTACAGTTAAAGTTACTTTTGAAAAACACATTTTCATGATTCTGCTCAGTTTTCCTTTCATCTGTCTAATTACTACATTTTCCAAAAGATAGAAACCCAAGATGCATGAATGAAAAGAAACCATTGGGTATTCCACTAAAAGCTAACCACACTATCACCAGGTCCTATCAGCCCCTGGAGAATCCTGTGATGAGACAAACGGTTCTTGGCACCAGCTTTTGTGTGACCCTGAAAACCTTTTGAGTGTTCCATTTGCCAAAAGTGCTCGTTAGCATCTAAAAATCAATGTGTCATGTTCAAAACGGCTTCAATGGGCCTCTCCAAGGGGTTAACATTGAATATAATGAGGAACCACAGAAACCTAATTATGAGGTGTGGTTACAAGATTGCATGGAGACTACAGAGTGTGTGCAAAATCATGTCAGGAGACTTCCACAAGACACACAATTTTAAATGTTGACTGTGGTGAAACATTTATGATCTACTGTTTGTGGTTGAAACTAAATCATATTGAAACCTCTGGAATAGCCTGTTGTCCATCTGATATCCTGCTTACAGTAAGCCATCAGTACTTGATTGCATGAGGAGGTAATGATTACATTCCTTAGTGTGCATTTAAAATCTTTTTATGAATACTTTTTAAATTAAGTTTTTAAGTATTCATTTATCAAACTGAAATGCACAAATGCACATAAAAGGGAGCTGTTCATTTGGGAAATAATCAAAAGAAAGGAGATCATTGTCAATTTATAGATTTTCCTCCTGCTGCACTGAACCCACAAAGCTAAACTCTTTTAAATGTAGACCTCATGTCCCATTAAGTGTTACTGACATTGTGCTTTCAGTGAAGTAAACAAACAACACAGCAATATCAAAGCCAGCTGTTTCTCTAAAGGTTATATTAGAGATTATTATCGCTTTGTTCAGAGATACGACAGTGGATAGAGACTGAAATCAGGGAGAGAGAGAAGAGTGGAAAAAGAGAGTGGGAAAGGAGCCACAGATTGGATTTGAAACGGGTTGGCAGCTTTGAGGGCTGTGGCCTCCTTACCTGGGGCGCACACACTAACTACTAGGCTACCAGGGCGCCAAAGCCAGCTGGTTTCAACAAAATCTTCCTTTTCTTGATTATTTCAAGTCGAAAGATCCAGCACATCACTTCAACAATTATTGAAGTCTTGATGATTCAGTGTTTCCCCTACCGTTATATTAGGTAGCCCCCCCCCCTCAGAAATCAGGGAAAGAAGTCATTTAAGGATACCTTTCCGATAGAACAGGACAGCTGTCATTAAAAGTAACGCATGAACACCAAGATTCCGTCAAGAGTTTGTGTCAGCGTCCGTCTGCATGCACCTCCCCACCCCCCCAAAGCTGTAAGCCTAGGGGAAACACTGATGTATCATCCTATCACATCAGTGTCAGAACAATGAGACAGGTAAAGGTTGTCAAGAAACTGAAAAGATCTACTTCTGAAGGCCATTTAACAAAGATGCTGTCTTGACGTTTGCCTTTCTAGTCCTCCAAATGTCCCTTTTTTTCTTAATATTCATATATTAAAATATGCAGAGATTGTAAAAGAATAATGGCTTTACCTAAAGTATGAAAAAAAAAAAAACTCTCTTGATACGAAAAGAAACGTAACTCTGTCTGCCCAAATCTAATATCCAAAGCTAATCTTTCTCTCAGTGGTAACTTTAAGTCTATCTTAAAATTAAAGCATGGTGCAAACGGAAATATAACTTCTTTCAATCAATCAAAAGAAATGATGAAGATGGTACTTTTACTGTTTGTCGTGCTATGATAATGACTTTTAAGATGACCTGACAAAAAAAAAATACTGTTATACTGCCATAAAAGTTGTAATAGTAAATGTACAAAGGAAATTTATGCTAACAAATTCCCATTTTTTCAGTCCCTCCAACTTTGATATGATAAAGTACTAACTTTAGAAAACACTTGTTGCATGTTGTTTTTTTGTAATGTGAAGTGTCATATTCAAGGCAGTTTTTCAAAGGTTTATGTCAACAAAAAGTATGCATAAAAGTTTAAGTAATAAAATGTGTCTTACCACCATTAAAGAGCTCTCAAGGACCTAGTTGAGGCTCAGTTCGGAAGTTTGCACCACTCCATCCAAACCATCCTTCTGTACTTCTGAAAAACTACAAGACAAACAATATTTACAGGAAGAGGTGAGTGACGTTTCACAAATTCCAAGTCCCATTTGATCAGAATAAAGTCCTAAAAAAGATCCAACAGCAAGCATTTAACAGTAACCCTCTAACATCTCGTCTCCCTTACCCCTGCCTCTTCTGCAGCAGCTCAGATACTAATCTCTTCCCCTCCAGACGGGCTTCTTTTTGCTTACTTCCCCCATCCCTGGAACACAAAGGGGAGGGGCTCTGGGAAGACACCACGTGGTATTTAAAGCAGGAGAATGAACAGGGAAAAGTCGCAAAGAATCAGCTCGTAAATGGTAGACAGTTGGACAAAAAGGCACACGACTCATGTTTGGTTTTAGGTTAAAAGTAGCTTTGTGCATGTGTTAGTATTTGTATTCAGAAAGTGGAAGTGACTTGCTGTATGTCCCCAAAGCAAAAGAAAGTGGTCTGAATTATATAGGTTAATACCCACAACAACATTCCTCTGCTCCAGACACATACGGGTTTGAACAGATATTGAATGCCAATATTAAAGTTTAAAAGGAACTAAAGTATTTTGTTTCTAACAAGAAAAAACTGACCAAAGGCAAGCAGCTTTCACATCTGCAAATCAAATCAGGGTAATAAATCTGTGTCAAGATGTTTACAGTGAGATGATTGTTGCAAGACTATTGTTACTTTGTTCCTTTGCCAAAGCTGTATTTCTCCCACAACACGGACATTAAATGTGAGATTGTTCTGGGGCAAATGTAAAAAGCTGGACATGCTATCACCAGATGTTTTTTTTTTTCTTTTTGGTTTTAGTTTTAATAGAAAATCTGGCTTGTATCCTTTAAAAAGCTGACTGACCTGTTCAGATAGACACATGCAGTGCAGATGTTGCTCTTGGCTGCCAAACACTTTCAACTAAGAACAAAACAGTTACATGGGGACAACTTGCAGGAATTGCATTTCTATAGAGAGACCGCAGATTAATCAAAATTTAAAAAGTGTAGATGATTGGCATTTTCTTGGATGATAAATAATTACAATCTAAAACAATGATTCAATGAGAAAAAACACCAACAGATAACTGTGAATTTTGTTGGAAATATGTGCATAACCATTCAAGTAAGCTTTAAAACATAGTTCATTTATATTTCTGGCTATGATGATGGTCTCATGGCACGACTAAAGCTGATTCCTCCAACATTTGGAGGTCTGGGAAGCAGCATTGTCTATAGCCTACAATTAGTAGGCTATTGCTTTTCACTATTCCTACAACGTTTAATGAACTCCTTATTGATATACAGCCTTTCCATCCTTTATCTTCAACAAAATCTTCACAAAATGTGAGAGAGTTTTGCCAACCTGACAGACTCCCTGAGTTTTCCCTTAAAATCACTTGTGATCCCAGCCAGCACTGGATCAAATGACGATATGGTCTTATCCCATGGGGACAACATGAGCGAGTCTACAAATAGCCAATATATAAGCAAGAATGATAAAGTTAAGATCTTCAGCAAAGGGTCATGGTAATTTTTCAGCCCATGTGGTCAATAACAAACATTTTGAGCCATCTCACTCCCATCTTAGATAGCCTTCTGCCGATTAAAAGTCAGCCGCCTAAGATCTGTGACAAGGACCAGCAATTCATGTTTTTAGACGTCAGTTCAACAGGCAGCATTTAGAACTAAAAGGAAATAAGTAAAACTGATTTTTATTGTATACACTGAATCATACATACTCATGATAACATGTTATTATTCTAAACCAACACTCAGCTAAAACTGACTTAAAACTAAAACTCAATTAAAACTGACCTAAAACTAAAACTCAATTAAAACTGACTTAAAACTTGGTGTATCTGATCAGTTTGTCTGTTTGATTGCATCTTTAAGTAATGCTGATAATGTGAAAGGGAACGTGGAGAATGACTTGCGGCAAAGGAGGGAAAATACGATGGTGAGTTCGTATGTTGTGTTTTATTTTGAAATTGACCGGACGCTCTGTGAGTTTCCTTGTCTGACTTCCTTTAAAACAAAATACTGTAAATGTAATCTGTAATTATAGACTAGAATATAACATAACAGAAAAACTGTGTTGCCTATCAAGTAGCCTACTCTCCCTTGACCATTCGAGGCACAGAGACACGGAGCTTTACTCCTAAAACACTCTGAAGGCAGCTCTGCATGATGCAGCTAAACTAAATTAACACATAAACAGAGACCAGTCACAAGATAGAAGGTGGGGCAACACTGACTGAGCAGAAGAGCTTTTCTGAAACAGTGCCTAAATTAAAACTTCTCCAGACGTAAAACTTTCCATCCTCCATTCCAGAATTACATTTTATTGAGGCCTTTTCAAAAAGAAACACAGTCTTCAACCAGGAAGAAGCTCACAAAGCTAAATGACCAAAACCTCAGCCAGAACAAGGAAACCAACAAGAGAGCACGATAGCAGGATACTGATGTGCAAGGGAGTGAAATATACGGCTCAATTCTGCCATGGCAGAAAAATTGGTAAGTCACTGGTCTTAGAAAATATAACAAACTCTGAGAGTTTCTTGGAAATTGTATAGTCATTTGTTTCATAGTAAATCTTGTATCAACTTTATAGTACTATTTGTATTCCTTACACAAATAAAAGGGCCCTTATTCTTGTATAACCTTAAAGAAGTAACATCTGGGGTAACCTAAGATTAAGCACAGACCCATCAGAGACCTTAAAGCATCTTTGTCCTTTTGTGAATCTAGGCCCTTAGGATCTCATCATGTTGGCTTTATTACTCTCTTTGAATCATAAACTGAATATTGGATCCAATGTTTCACCACAGACAGGACTGAAACCCCATTAACATTGGCATTTAGTTTGCATGCATCACTTCCTACAATTACAGTATGTTCACAGTTTAAATGAGCTCTGCTTCATTGTTCTCTTTTTAGTTTATCTGCTCAGACCCACTCTGTTAGTGTGCGTGTGTGCGTGTGTGCGTGTGTGTGTCTAATCAAACCGGAGTTTGATCTGTTAGAAAATAAATGAATTAATAGATCAGATAAATAAATGAAGTTTGATTATTTCGAGGGAGGAAAAGACAAGATTTAAATCAAAACCATAAGGGGGAAGATTAAATTATCAGCATAAACATTTACATTCATTTAATAAATAAGTTATGTTATTGAAAGGTATTGTTTGCTAAAATTGGAAAAAAACGGGTAGTAGAGAATAGAGTTCAGTTGATAAATAAGTTGAAAAAAAATCAGACCTAACCGGAAGGAATCAATCCTCACGGCACCGGAGTCATTAGAGCAAACGCACAGACAGCATGAAAAGGGAGGAGAGACAGACCGACAGGTAGCTCGCGGAAACGAAAAAGAAAAACCATCCCAAAGAACTGAATTGTGTGAAATTGATCATCTGCGCTGTTTTGTTTGCTTAGTTTGATAGCGTGCCTGTTTGTTTAATGATTTGATTGTTTGTTATTCTCTACTGCGAGATAAATTTAATTGATTAAGGGGATGTTTATAAACTGTCGAGGAAGCACAGGGTGAGGTTTTTGAATTGATGAATTGATTGATTGATTGATTGATTGATTGATTGATTGATTGGGCATATCATCACGAGTTTGCACGGGTGTAAATTGATACATTAAAATGGAGAAAGATGAAAATGTATTTAAAATACAAAATATATGTTAAAATACAGAAATATTAAAATGTGTTTCAAATACAAAATAAATGTTAAGATGCAGAGAGATTAAAATGTGTTTAAAACACAAAATAAATTAAAGGGTTGGCCGAAGGTATTCATTAATTTAATTTAGCGTGTATTCTGCTTGAATGTTGGAGGTGCATGGTTTAAATTAAGCACATATTAATTTGTTTGGTTGTTTTATTTATTCTTTTCAACAGGTTTTTCACCTAAGCAGCTAAAGCTGACAGCTAAATTGAAAGTCGAAAAATGAACTGGAACTGAAAAAGGAATTGTTTGAGTGGAGTCCAGTCCTTTTTGTGTAGAAGATCATTCCTCTCAAGTTGGGAAGCAGAAGAAACTTGACAGTGTGTGTGTGTAAACACACAGTATACTAGTAATTGATATTACACTTAACTCTAGCTAATGCCCTAAAAGGATTCAGAATGATTTCCTGAACATTTTGCAGGATCAGGCCTCACCATAATGAATGTCAAGCACAATTTCCCCCTGATCTTTTCTCTTATAACACAATTTTTAAAACTCCCACACATGCACAAGTGCTCATCTCGTGAATCCATTATACTATTTACTCATCAGCACACATTCGTTTGACACATAAATGCACATCCCTAATACTGTCTGTGCTTTGACAACCACACAATACACATATCCAAAATACAACACCTCATCACTTCAAAATGAACAGAAACAGAAAACATTAAATCATACAAACAAACTTTGTCATGCCCAACGAAACAAATTTACACCTCACAAAAATATTGTGAAAAATTCCAGTAACTATGATCTCCAAAGAGGAGGGCCAATTTTAATTCATCAACATCACCTCAGCTCCAACATTGACATACTTTAGTTTACTGTATGTTCCAGTATGAAAATGCTGCCTTATTTGATACCTGCACTAATGTATTCCAACATTATACAGTATGTCCCTAAACACATTATTTTACCCAGTTATAAACCAACTCCCAAGTAGTTGACAGACATACTGTTAATCAGTATGTTTGTTAAATTTTTCATTCTACCTTGGTGAACAAGTTATTTTAACTTTGTTTTACTTTAGGGAAGCCAGCAGTTATAAACCAGAAAAGTTTATCAGCTGTTGTAACAGAAGACAGTGCCCAGGCATACATATTTGCGGTGAGTGTGAAGAAAGGCAGAGGCTGTCTTTGGATAAAGTTTAATAAAATGAACAGACATACAAAATTAATTCAAACCAAACCAGCACAAATGTACTCATCCAAAGTACTTTGTCACCCTTTCTACTATCACAATCTATAGCTGAAACACAGCCCTCTACAGACACCAGCTCCAAGAATGTTGTTTTGTGTTTACTCTAATTAGCTGTAAAAGTGAAGCTGCAAAGACACAGCCCACCAGAGATAACAACTAACTGAACCTTGACTGAACTCAGCCAGAGGGTCATACCTGTGGCAGACGTCTCCATGGTTGCAGCGCAGACACGACTATTTGTCTTGTTCCGCTAATAAAAAAAGTTGAAGCAAGGCTGCAATACATT